CTGATGAGGCTTGTCTTGGGCGGTAGCAAGAGGAAGGGATCTCCCCACTCATCCACCAGAATCTTGAAGTTTACACAGAGGCCTTCGCTGTGACCGGTCATGTATTTCATGATGGTCTTAACAACACCCGACTCCTTGAAACGGCTCCCACTGTGGGCACGGTGGGTGGAGCATATATTCCAGAGGTGGAGAGGGGGCGGAGCCTCTGACTGCCCGGGTCCAGCTCTCAGGTCACCTTGTGGTCAGAGCCTCTGGATGACCTCCTCCAGCACCCCCAGGGAAGCAGAGTGAGCCAAAGTGCTGTGACTAAAAGCTGAGTACTCCATAAACAGTACTTTGTTCAGGAACAAGAATTCCATAAAAACCTATTCATGAATTGGGAATGATTTCAAGCAATCATTGGATCTAGCAACCTACTACTCTTTCCAATGTGTCAGAGGTCAGGCGGGGTCATCATTTAAATCAATAAAGTGCAATGAGTGGCTAAGTCATTGATGTGTTCAATGTAGCCTCTAACCTTGCCTTGAACAGTCTCAAACTATTCAACAGCAGGATCTTCAGGGGACCCAAACTATTCGAGGGTGACCCGCACTTAGAAGACACATGTGGAAGTTAATTATGGCCTCGGGAAGCTAGGAAGTCCAAGAGGTTGGCTGATTCAGTTCCAGATGAGGGCCTTCTTCCCGCCTTGCAGACGGCTGCTTTCTCACTGTGTCCTTACTTGGTGGACAGGACATTATCTCTCTCCCTTCCTCTTCTTTATAAAGCCACTAATCCCATCACGAGGGGCGCACCCTAAGGACCTCATCTAACCCTAATTACCTCCCAAAGGGCCCATCTCCGAACACCAGCACCTTGGAGATTTGGGCTTCAACACAGGAAGTTGGTGGGGGGAGGGACGAGATGCAGCCCAAAGCCTGACCCTTCGGCAACTTCTTCACCTAAAACCTAATTCCATTCTCTAAGTCATAAACAGTTTCTGAAGTGAGTTTTCTCAGATTTTCCAAAATAGTTCTTCTTTTAGCCGTGATTAAGCATAAAAAATTTCATCTCAGCTGGGAGAACAATGGAGAGAATCAGCTCTGTACGAGTCAGGCCACTTGGATAAAAGAAGTGTTCATGACATTCTTTTCCACTGAAGAACACTTAGAAATTACTCGAAGTGGAGGCAAGGCCAAGGGTAAGGGAAGGGAGGGTGGAAAACAGGCCTGTCTTAGCAAGAACTCCAGCCTCCGAACAACAGTCCGCTCTGTCTCCCATTAGCCTGAGCTGGGCTCTGGAGCCGACTGCACTCCAGCGGAGACCCCTGCAGTGTTGATTACCAGGCTTGGTCCATGTTACAAGGACGTAAACCTCAAATGTGTGAGAGAAACAAGGGGGTGAGGAGAAGAGATTGGAAACAGGAGTCGGCCTCCAGCAACTTTCTTGAGACTCGGTGGAATAATTTCTAGAATAATTTAATGAGATGGCCCGAGCAGGCACAGGGGCTGACGGGCTGGTTTCATGTTCATTCTGTGTTGACTTCTGCAGTGGTTGGAAAAAAAAAACAAAACAAGTCTGGAAGGTCGACGAACATCCATCTCTCGGTACCTGAGAATGGAGCAGAGAAAGAGAATCCTGAGCAGAAGGTGGAAGCAGAGAAAGTCTTAAAATATGTATGACCGATTCGGTTACCTCTTGGGAGGCACAGGGAAAGGAGGAGGAAGTAAAAATGACATTTACTGAGAACCAACCAAAGTGTAAGGCCTTGGAAGGCCAGGCGGGCTTGGGGGAGCGCGGGGGGGGCCTGCCTGCCTCGTTCTCAACGCGTCCCCAGTCCCTAACACAGGCCTGGACATGCAGGAGATAGTAAGTACCTGTTGTAGGAAGGAAGGTATGGCACAGAGCCCGTTAGATAGTTGGCACTCAGTAGATATTTTTGAAAGAATCAATTAACTAATGAATGCCTCCTGCCTGCCAGGCACGATTCCATTCTTTCATTCAGTTTACAAGGACAAAAAAAAAGTCATTCATTTGCCAGGCATTCTGCAGGACACTGAGAACTCAAAACTGTAGAGAGACCTTTTCTGTCCCTAAAGAGCTTACGGGGCTGGGGAGGTAGACACACGAACAATGGTGATGCAATGGTCACAGGCTGTCGCAGCCTGCGGGGAAGGGTAGGTGGGGTCACAGTCTCCCGGGGAGAGCTGAGGCAGCGTTTACAGGGAACCAGCCTTTGAACTGAGACTTCGAAAGGAGTGAAGGATCACAGACATTTCAGGCAGTGAGGACGGTGTGAGGGAAGACTGCAAGAAGTTCATCCTTGCAAGAGAAAAAATTCAGTGGAACATAGACAGGGGAAGCGTGAATTGAGAGAGGAAGGAGATGAGGGTTAGGCCTCGTCATAAAGGGATTTCATCTGGAGTAGTCTGACCTCACTCTCTAGAAGACAGGAAACGGGACCAGCTCCGTGGACACGTGACCCGTGCGGTCCCATCGGACTCCAGGCCCAGCCGGACCCCGGGCTTGGTTTACTGCTCTCTCGAAATTCTTACTAGTTTTGTCTTTGCACATGTGTTTTGTAAGTGAAGTCCAGTGGGATGATGATATTGGCATATAGCAGAGAAGGATTTGCAACATGCACGTCTGCACTATCTTCCTGCCTCACTCACATGTGGGATTCATGAAGGCCCACGAGCACAGGATTCCAGTGGACCTACTGTGTGGGAGTTTCACACTCAGAACAAGTACAAGGTAAACATTAATATGGAAGCTACCAGCTCCTACTGAGGTCTGATAATATGTGTGCATACGAAGAAGTGAGATAAAACGGTTGGGTCAGTTTTGTGCAATAGGCTACAAAATACAAATTGTATCATTTCAGTGAATCCACATATGAGTTCAAGGCTCTTCTATTTGCATGTACAACTGGCATTGCACAATATAAAGATGAACGATAAAGTTTGTGCTAATCATTCATAATTTGAATTTTTCTTTACATTAAATGGCAAGTAAAGACACCATGACACATTAAGAGAGAGAGCTAGAGAGAGAGAGACTACTAAAAACAGAAGGAAAGGAAAAGGCTTCACACTTTCATATTTTAGTACATTTAATGGCATTTCCCCCTGCTTCTTAAACATTGTGCACCAGGTCCCAGAATTGATGCAGCTGACACTGATGAGGAGCCGTCAGAAAACCTTGAGCAGGGAAGACACGTGACAAGAAAACAATTTTGGAAGAACAGCTCTCAGCGGACTGTGGTACAGCCAGGAGAGAGGTCGATGAGGCCGACGTGAGAGGGGGGCCAGGGGACGGGAGAAAGGGACAGGTGTACAAGGGGTTGGTGGCAGACTCCTAGGGCTGGTGACTCATTCCACACGGGAGGTGAGCAAGAGGGAGGAATATAGCCTGACTCCCAGAGTCCTGGCTTCAGCCTTTGGCTGTGCCATCCCCCGAGGTGTGGAGCAGGAGGAAGAGAGGGTGGGTGGGGTGGGCGAGGGAGGAGAGATGGGCCAAAGGTGAAGGCTGGTCTGGGACGTGGGGTAGACAGACTTCTCCGCTGGGTCTGCGCAGTGCTACTCACTCCACCGTCTGGTGACAGACCCCACCTTCTCTGGTCTCTGGGGTGTGGCTGGGACCTAGGCTAGGGATCATCCTGCTACCTGGCCACAGCTAGTGGTGCAACGAGTGGACAGGTAGGTTTCTCAGCCAGAATAATCAGAGCCCTTTCTTCTGATTTTTCAGACGAAAGCTGGGAAGTATCCGTTTCCTCTTTAGCACCAGAAGTAAGTCTGCAATTGCCCAACAAAGCTGAGTGACCCTGAGACTCAGGTCTGAAAGTGAAGCCAACATAGAGAGGATGAACAACGAGCCTGTCCCCTGCCGTTGAGTTCCTGGACCAAGAAGCTCTGAGCTCCATTTCGCCCTCCCTGGAAACAGGATCTAAGACATCTAGTCTCCCCTCACTCCCCTCCACCCTCTTCAGCCTCATATACTTTTCTTAAGCCACCTGGAGTTAGGGCCCTGTCACTTTGGTCTGAAAGAGCCCTGATTAGTACAGGACAGGTGGCTGGGTGCCCATGGAAACAGCTGGGGACAGATATTACTCCCGTATCGTGGAGAAGTGAACTGCGGCTCAGGAAGGGCAGAGAACTGCCCAGAGTCTCATGGCCAGCAAGCCACCACACCAAGCCTCGAATGCAGGCGGGTCTAAGTCCAAAGTCATTCATCTCTTTATGATGCCACACTTTCTTCCTAATACGTTCCTCGTTCTTTAAACTCAGGGCTTCAAATTCAGGGATCTTCATACTGCTGACCTTCCACATTTTTTGCTTAATGACCAAAAGCGATGAGGGCCTGACAGCAAATTCTCCGGAGCATTTCCCAGGCGCTGGCCACTCCCAGTTTAAAAGTCACTGGCACCAGAAGGCCTTGTTGCTAATTTTGCGGAAGTCTAAAGTCACTGACCTGATCACTGAAACCTTGTTTTTCTAAACTTTGTCTTGTTTTATGAGTTCAAACGGAAAGTCACGTCTTATTTCCCAACAGAGTTACAAGGAGGTGATAACACACTGAGCCTCAGGTTCAGATCTGGAGAAAAGCTCTCCGTGACCTCTCCTCTCGCCTGCCGCCCTGCTTATTGCCACATTCTCTCCTGCACAGAACCTTCTTTTCCTTCTTTCCCATTCACCCAATGTATTTGGAGGGGAATCTCTTCTGACTCATTCTGGGGAGTTGTGGTAGAAGCTATTGTCCCTAAATTGTTATTTCCTCCTCTTCCCTCTCAAAAACAGAACCCCACATTTTAAAAACGATTCTTTTTGAGATATAATTCACATATGGTAAAATTCATCATTTTAAGGTGTATAATTAAATGGGTTTTTTAGTAGATTCACAAGGTTGTACAGCCATCATCACTGCCTAATTCTAGACCATTCCATTGCCCCTCCCCGCCCCCCACACCCAAACCTCACACCCATTAGCAGTGGCTCTCCATTCTCTCTTCCCTGCAGCCTTCCTGGCACCTGTTAACCACCTTCCTATCTCTGCAAAGTCTCCTATTCTGGACATTTCACATAGGTTGAGTCACCTAATACGTGGCCTTTTGAGTCTGGGTTTTGTTATGTAGCATTTTGGTTTCAAGGTTCATCCACATTGTAGCATGTGCAAATACTTCATTCCTTTTTATTGCCCAACAATAATGACACTCCACTGCATGGGTATACTATAACACCAAATTCTGTTAAACCATCTGTAGTTGACGGACATTTGCTTCCCCCCCCCACTCTTTGGCTATTAGGAATAATGGTACTGTGAACATTCATGGACACGTTTGTGTGTGGACAGATGTTTTCAATTCTGTTGGGTACACACAAAGAGTGACTTGCTGGGTCACGTGATAACTCTGTGTTGAACATCTGGAGGAGCCGCTGATCTCCTCTCCACAGTCGTGGTGCCATTTCACATCCCCACGGCGGTGTGGGAGAGGAAGCCTTGGTTTTCAGCAGAGCCCACTGCGCCTGATGAAAGATCAACTTTCCAGCTGCCCCGAAGCTGTAACACGCATCTCTTCTAGCAAGGCTCACGGCACGGGATCTCATGTGGAAATCGCTAATGAAGAACACATTTTTCTTCCCAAACTTGGTATTTCTTGGATACTGCTCAAAAGATTTATAAAGCATACTATACATATAAACTAATATTGACATACTTACTTGCAAGAATGACTTAGCAGCAGCAGCAGACAGAGACGTGAAGATGCCACGTCTTCAAATGTGAAGACGTGCAACAGCTACAAGGGAGACTGAGTGATGGTGCCCACTTTTCTCATCTGTGCTCCTGTCCTGATTTCCAGGAGTGTCAGCCTTGGCCTCTACCACCTGCTCCCTGCAGCCTGGACACCCCTGATCAGAACGCTCATCTCTCTAATAATCAGAAGCTCCCTTGAAGGCAGGAAACCCATGTCTCTTTCACATCATTAAACTTTCAGTGCCTCGCTTGGGGTTCAGAACAAAGTACATGCTTAATTAATATGCACTGAACTGAATTTCACTGACCACAGAAGTGCTGTTTGGCCGAGCTCCAGAAGATGAGTATGTCAAGTGGCTTGGGAGGGAAAGGCATTTGGGGCTGAGGGGAACACTCTCTTCACAGACACAGGCACACCCAACAGCATGTTTTCAATGATTCAATGACCTTCAGATGGCAGGTGTGCAAAGGGTCATGGCAGATGGTGAGTCAGGGCCAGATTGTGTGGGGGCTTGTGCCCCTGCTAAAGAATACAGATGGGACACTGCAGGCAACAGGGAGCCCCTGAAGAAGACCCCTGAAGAGCTGGGTAGGAACGCCTTCCAAGGGCAGACTGCCTGCGTTGCAACGCCACCTCTGAAATGAGCTAACTCTGAGCAGTTCTTTAACCTGCCTGGGCCTCACTTTCCTCATCTTTATAATGGGGATAATGACATCAAACAACCAAGGAGTTTTTGGATAAAATACCCAAAGATAATGCAGGTATGGTTCCTGGCACATAAAAGAGCTCAGTAAGTGCCTGTTCATTATTATTGTTGATTTTGCTCCTGTTATCAGCAAAGAGCTTTAAACAGCAGGGTGTTGTGATCAAATTTGTCTCTTGAGGGAAAATCACAGGCCAGTCCCCACCAAGAGATGTATAGTCAGAAGTGACAAAGCTCTTTCCTTCTCTTCCTCTTCTTTATTGTTTCCCATGGTGGTCTCTCAGACCTGAAGGACTACAGACCTCTGTGAAGGTCTTCAGTTTTCTCTCTTAGCTTCCACGGATTAGCTGTAGGGAGGCAAAGCAGATGAAATGACAGTTAGTGAAGCAGCAGCCTGATGTCACAGGAGTCTTAGGTGGAGAAAACAGGAACAGTCAACAACCATTTAAAAAGCACGTCCTATAGATCAGACACCGTGTAGGCGCCTGGGAGGCAAGGGGTGAGAGGCCCTCAGGTCTATCAGCCTTAGGCTTCCTACTGAGCTGACCTCTTTTTTCTCTCTGGGGTGCAGCAGGCACAGCCTTGGGCGTTGGAACCTCGTCTCTGCCATGTCATTTGTTTGAGCCTCAGTTTCAGCATCTGTGAAATGGGGATATTAATACTTATGACTCATCTTCTCATGCCACAAGATGAGTTTACCACGCCCTTTCCTCTCTTCTCAAACTTCTAACACCTGCTCACCCTCACGGCTTTGAGCCCATAACCTCGTTTCTTATTTTACTGAGGAAATAAAAGCAATCAGAAAAAGAACTCCTTCATCCTTCCCCATTTGATCTACCAACCTACTGTTGCATGTATCGGTCTGAATGCACGGTTCCTGCTCCTGTCCCCTTCACATGTGACTTGAGCCCTACTCTTATCTGCTCAAGGAATGTGCTCCTGCCACTTGTCACTTCACTGTATCTTCGATTCTACACCCTGCCGCCACCACTCTACAGGGTCGTTCTCATCAGTATGCAAATAATCTAAGAAATACAGAATTTTCATGTTTTCCTTAAGCCGATCACAGCTAGGTTTCTGATATTTGCAACCAGAAAAGTCCTGGTTAATACAAGACACACAGGTGCCTATGGAAATAGCTTGTGTCCTTTCCCCTGTTGGTCTTCAGTGGATAAAAGGTTACAGCTCCATAGGCTTCATCCTTTCTCTCCCCGGAGGATATGGCAGCTCTAAAGTGCCCACCTGTGTCCTGGCTAGTGTAGCTCAGTGGATTGAGCACAGGCCTGAGAACTGAAGGATCATGGTTCGATTCCCAGTCAGGGCACATGCCTGGGTTGCAGGCCAGTTCCCAGCAGGGGATGCACAAGAGGTAACCATACATTAATATTTCTCTCCCTCTCTCCTTCCCTTCCCCTCTAAAGATAAATAAGTAAAACCTTTAAAAAAAAACCTGAAAATATATAAATAAGTCGCCCACCTGTGCACTTCCTGTCACCGCCCGCACAGCTGTCCAGTAATTTCAGATGCAGTTGGGTGAATGTTTGAAATCCACCCTCACAATAGTTTCATAGAGACAGATATTTTTTAATAAAACTTAAAAAAATTATCATGCTTATATAAAATTCCTTTTACATAGTTTTTCACAGAGTACGTGTTGAAGAGGAGGATAATTGGCTTCAGGATTTGAATGAGTCACACTAAAGGCTGTAAAACAAGAGACACAATGCCTATCATTGAGCGGTTTATACTTATGAATGAATGAGTGGAAGAATGAATGAATGAAATTAATTAACCATTTGCAAACGTGTTGTAGTCCGGGAATTGGTTTTTGTAACTTAGTTGTTTTGAATTTGGGATGCATTTGCCCATAGAAACGATGTTGTAAGTGATATTTAAGTGTCAAGAAATCTCACTAAGGCCCTTTAGCCCATAATGTAGCAACAAAACCTACAAAAAAAAGTAATGGCATTCTGTAAAAACACCAAACAGTTTTGAACACTGGTGTTTGAGGAAAAGTAACTTTAATTAGGAGATAAAAAGTGTGATTCTCAAGGGGACTTCTGAGACCTTTCCAAGGTTCCGAATTGTCCTTTTTATATCTATTTTCAAATTAAAATGTCTGCATTTCTTTCCCTTGGTACAATCCTACCATTTGTGTGTGTGTGTGTGTGTGTGTGTGTGTGTGTGTGTGTGTGTGAGAGAGAGAGAGAGAATCATACTATTGTTATCATCAGCAGGCTCACTATTGGTTACCTGGTAGATGATTAATAACTGTTGTGTCTCTAACTGGATGGAAGGGTAGGAGCAAAGCAAGATGGGAGTTTGGGGGAAACTTCTCCTAAGTAATCAGAAGAGTTGGAATAGATGAGTGTGTCACAAACTGCGCTTACATATTTGCTACCATGTGTCTCTGTATTCAGAATAAAGGAATGTGACTCGCTGTGCTCCCCGGAGGCTTACTATCTCCAAGAGTAAGACCTACACACAGAAAAAGTGCTGCTGGGTAAGACCTGTTGGACGCCAGTCAGGGTGATAGTAGAGGTTTAGAGGTTTAGAGGACAGTGCGATCTCTGGGGCCAGGAAGGGGGAAGGAAGAGTTTTGAGTTTGACGTTTTGAAAGAGGGTTTCAGTCTGGAGAGAGTTGGGAGAGTGCATGAGGTAAACTTACCTGAATGGTACTTGTCAGGAAATACAGGAAGAGGAAGATACCTGATGTGAGCATTATTAATCTACACAAGAAGAAAGAATTGGTGGGGGGAGCAGGGAAGGATGCTGGATGATTTCCCCTTGGAGGCCATACAATGGCCGGGGAAAGGCTGGTTCTGGCTAGAGCTCACTGGAAATCATGGTCTTGGAGTTTTCAAGGGGCCGGGCAGCAAGTGATCGGACTTTCAAAGGTGTTTGCAAATCAGGTTGTACCTTACTATATCTAGGTATTTCTGTAGAATATACAATTTGTGTCATTTCATCATATTCTGCTTGTCATTTTGGTGACATGTGTCCTATTGGACAAATCCTACTGATTCCTAAAGAAGAAGCTCTGAAATCCTTGCCTTTGGTATTAAAAAATGTCAAGTTCCGTTTGCCAGCCTTCCCTCGTGGCTCCATCTCCCTTCCTTCTCTTCTTCCTCTAGCTTTCCTTAACTGTTTGACCAAATCACTTCACTCTCTGAGCCCCCTTTTAAAAATTCTATTTATACACGAGAAGTCTAAACTGGAATACCTAAACTTTCCAATTCTAAAAACTTGATTAAGAACTTTTCCAAAATGACACAACGTAAACCACGAGGGCGAGACCTCATCGTATCGCTCAAATCAAATTGCTGTGGTTTCCGAAATGAGTAACGCAGACGATTTAGTGATCCGGTTTTTCTTAAAACTAGATGACCTCTCTGTTCTCAGAGTTATCTCTGGAGCGCTGAGATTTGTCTAGAAAAAGTGGTGTAGAGTGTCGCGTTCTCCTCTAAAAAAAAAAGTGGCAGGAGTCACGACTGCAAAATCTGTTCGCGCCTAGCTCCTCCGATTCAGAAGTTTTCTGGGTAGCCACCCGCTGATAAAGCTTCTGTTTCCGCCCTCGAGGTCCCCTTCTTGGGCTTTACGTGCTTCGCCAGGCACACGAACCTGCCCCCTCGACCGCGGATGTTAACACCCGGAGCGTTCCGAAGCCGTCGGTGTCCCGCGGGGTCTACGGAATCCCACCAGGCGCGGCGCGGCCGCAGCGGCCGCCACACTTCCGGCGCCGGGCCGTGCGCTTGCCACACTTCCTGTTGATCGGGCTCCCGGGGGCGGGGCTTGGGGCGGGAGGGGGCGGGGCGGCCGCTGGCCAGACGCGGGCGCGCGCCGGGCGGTCACGGGCACGGAGCGTCCTCTTGGTCTCCAGAGCCAGGAATAGCCTCGGCGGCCGCGCGTGCTGTTCTCTGTCCGTGCATCCTGCCCTCAGCCCCAACGCGCGGCACCATGCCCGCCGTGGACAAGCTGCTGCTGGAGGAGGCGTTGCAGGACAGCCCGCAGGTACCTCCCGCTGCTCCGATCCCACTCGTCCGAGGGCTGAGGCCGAGGAGGCCCCTCCAACTTGCCCTGGGTGGAGGCAGGGAGTGCTCGGGGTCCCCTCTGGGACGAGGACGGGGCTGGCCCGGCCCAGAGCCCGGGATGTCCCGGGAGGGGGCGTTCCTCTGGCAGAGCTGGAGAACTTGGGCTAGCCCCCCGCAGCCGGAGCCTTTGTGTCCTGACCCCTTTCCAAAGTAGGCTGAAACTGAGGCTGCCCGGCCTAAGCTCGGGCTCCACCACTTACTAGCTGCGTGCGTGCTGGGGACAAAGAACTTACTTAACCTTTCTGTGCCTCAGTTTTGTCATCTGTGAAATAGGGATAATAATCATACCTGCCTCTTTAGAGGTCTCAGAATGAAATATGCAAATACCTGTAAAAAAGTTATTACAGACAATGCGTGATGCATTGTCCCTGAGAAAGGAGTCACCTTCGTTATTATTACTACTGCTGTTCCCGATGTCATGGGACCTGGCGGACTGAGGGCCAGAATGGGCGGCACAGCCTAGATTTCTCTCCCGGAGGTACCAGGCCTCCCGTTGGCACTGTTTTCCCATTTGCGGAGAGATTAACAATACCGGCCCCATTTGTCGCGCAGAGCTTCATTAGCGCCCTCAAGATGAAAGTTAAGTCCTTTGAGCTCTGCAGGTGAAAGCCGGTGTGCACCTGTAGCACACGAGTGCAGAATGACATTAGTTCATAGTTCAGTGCTCCTTTCCCCTGGGAACTTTTCTCCTCCATTAACATTTCCCCAGCTTCATACCTACTTTCCTGGTTCTGCATCCCTGGGACATTTAAATCAGTCTCTTTATTCCCTGGTGTCTCAACCCTTGGATAATAAGAATGAAATTAACTTCGTTTCCGTTCCCAGTTTCTCTTGTCTTTTTGGTTCCTTTCCGTTTTCTTCTTAGTGGTTTGCAGTCCTGGCATGATCCTTTGGGCTTAGCTACAGCCACGCTGCATCTCTTCAGGTCCGAATAAGTAATCAGAAGGGCTGTGGGCTTAGTTGCCTTGTGCCCATTTCTTTGTAATGAAGTGTAAGTGAACAATGATTTTGGTTTTGTTTTGCTTGTTTGTTTTTTCTAATCGATATCTGCTAGTCTGATTGACTTTTAAAGTCCTCTTTGAGGTCTCTAGCCCTTGGTAGAAGTCATTTCATCCATTGTCATGCATATTGTGTGGGATCGAAGATGGAATTTCTAACAATAATGCTTTGAAGGAGCTTGCTTTGAAGTTGTGGAAACTGAGGTGCGAAGTGCTTTGCTTTCCTAGTTGAATGCAGTGGTGGAGGAGCCAGGTTAGAGAGGTTGCACTGATTTTCCATGGAGCTCTCACCGATAAGTCACCTGAATTTCTGGCTCTGTTTCTGAGTGGTTTACTGGATTTGCTTAGCTCTGAGGAAGTAGAAAGAGTGCTGGCAGACAAGTCGGGAGACCTGGGCCCTAATGCTGGTTCTAACCCTGACTTACCATGTGATTTGAGCAAGTCACGTATCCCCATCCTGGCTCAGTATTCTCATCTGCAGAATGAGGGACATGGACCAGGTGATCTTTAAGGGGCTTTAGAAGCTCAAAATTTTATCATCAGCAGCATGGTTTGTAACTCTCAGCTTCTATGTGGAAAAGGAGGTTTAGATGCGTCGTCATTCCTAAAGTGTTCCTCTTCGTGTAGGGAGTTTGTCGTTGCTTTTGCAACTTGGGTGTCACCCTGCTAGGTTTCTTGGTAAGGTCGTTGAATGGATGCTAACTTTCCAGAAGGTCTTTGATAATCATGAGAGCATATTTATGTAACACTCTTGTGTGGGCATGTGCCCGGTGCCCCTTTACTGTTAAGGAGCCCCGCAGACTTGGAACTGGGAGGCATCTAATCCAGCTCCTTCATTTTATGAGTAAAGAATAAAAACCATAGCCAACACCTGCATCCCACATACATTTTTATGTGCCCCACACTGTTCTAAATGCTTTACTCATATGAATTCGCTCAGTTCTCCCAACACTCTTTTGAGGTAGGTCCTCTGTTAAAATTACCTGGGAGCAGAGATGTAAAATACCTGGCCCAAGATTACGCATGATCCAGTGGCAGAGACAGGATTGGGACGTGGGCGTTCTTCCTGTCCTCGTCAAGTTGGCCCATCCACCTGATGCCTGGCTTTCCTAACATTGGTGAGCAAACTGGTACTTCACTAAAAGGAAAAGATCCTAAGAAACACCTGTTGTTTGTTTCCTCTAGTTTTGTGTGGAGTAGTTATAAGGGTTGCTCCAGTAACCTGGTTGCATAGGTTTCATTAAACGAACACAAAAGCTTTTGTATTTGGACTCCGTGACCCAGGAAGGGCTGAATAGCAGTTGCCTGACTTCAGACATGTCTATCGTCTCCTCCTGTTTAGTGCTGCACAATGTCTTATACAACTAGTCTACGTGTGTGCCCGTATCATTACCTCCGATCTGTGAGAGGTGGAGTTTTAGGGATTGGCATACTTGTCTCCGTTGCTGCTTGTGACTCTGTTGCTGCTTGCTTCTCCTCACCAGGCACTGCTAGTGCTGGGAGGTAGTGACAGCTGAGATAAGCATGCTTGCCCTCCGCTGGTTCCCAGTCTGTTCTGGGGACAGAGAGGAAAGCGCAGCGCCAGTACGTGTGGGCACTGCTGTGGCAGGGACGCAGAGGCAGCTCAGAGCTGCTGCGGCTCATACTTCTTCACTCACTCTCCTTTGTGCAGGCAGTCTGCTTTTGGGATAAGTGGAAGACAGGAGCACTTTTGCTCGCTGTCTGGTTTTGATTTTTTGTTTGTTTCCTCTGCAGTTGGCCTAATGAAACACAGAGCTACAGGATTTAGTTCTGAGATTGTGCAGTGAGTAGTCAAGCTGGGAATAGCCCTCTCTGATAAACCAGACCTGTCTTTAGTCCAGCGAGCTACCTCCAGACGCAGCCTGGTGGCCATGTCTTCATTGTGGGGAAGATTTTACCTGCTGTTCTCTTGGTTTGTGGTACATTTTTTTCTTTCAGTAGCCTCGGTTCTACACAGACGTTTCTCTTCTCTGCCGCCAAATTATAGATCTAAGGACTTTGATTGCTTTTACATTCTAAAATACTTATGTATAACTTAAATACACAAGTTTTACAATCAGAGCCATTAAAATTGTGCCATTATATGATTAGATGACTATTCTCGAGTGAAAAATGTCTAGGACTATTTTGTTAGGTAACCGGTTTCTTTAAGATGGAGGCCCGACGTGGAGCTGAGGCCACAACCGTAGGGCGTTTGGTTTTGTGTTGCTGGCCAGGCATCCTCTTGAGAGTGTAGGACAGTAGAAAGAGGATGGAGTTCACATCCCGATTCCGCCACTGTTACCTTCAGCGACTTGCACAACCTCTCTTAGCTGGTGTTTTGACCCCTCTCAGATCAGAATAAAGCCAGGCACTGAGTGGGAATTCTTATGAAGAATAGGTGGTGCGTGTAAAGTGTCTTCATGCCTCCATGTCATTGTGCCCCCGTGAATGATGGCTGTTGTCCCTTCGTAAGTGATGTGCACCAATGGCTTTCTGACTGTTGCAGAAATTTTGAACTGGCGTGCCTTTGCCTTGTCATTGGTCTCATTCCTTCCTTCTGTCTCAGAACATTCCTGTTGTTCCAAATGGACGGTTAAGCAGATGTGAAGCTGATCAGTGATATCGCTGATGGTGATATTGGACCTTGGTTCTTGAGTTCAGCAAAGAAAATTCAGAGCCAAGAACTCAAGCGCGAGAAGTTTATTTAGCCTTTTAGGAAGAAAGTCACAGAGACAGAAGGGGGCCAGCTGGGCTGTACTGACTCAGGAAACAAGTTACAGAGGCAAAAGAAGGGCCCTGGGAGCTTGGCAGAGAGAAGCAAAGATAGGTGCCCAAGGAAAGAAACGGGGGGGTGTGCGGGAGAGAACAGGCACTGGGTCCTTTGCTTTAAGGGTTTTATGAAAGTGGGACTTTTAGGGGAGGTCTCGGGAGGATCTCAATAGACTATTCGTCAGCTTTCCAGGTCTGCCCTTTCAGGGTTGTGGTCTCTACTGATGGGTCAGTGCTAGGTTCGGGGGTCGTTAGTCAGTGCAGCTGGTCTGACATTAGCCATGGTGTTGCTTAGTCTGGTTTTGTCGCTCTTCCCGGGCTTGGAGCTGAAACACCACTGAGATGTAGGTAGTATCTCCAGTTTGACCAAAACTCTCTCTGTGGTCAACAGACCCAAGGCTTCGTTCGTAAGACTGTTTGATGCTGATCAGAACCCCATTGTCCTGAGGGTTGAATGATTAAGGTAGTGGTCGTGCAAGAGAGAAGGAGGCAGGTGAGTCAGGGCATTGGGTGGGGCCCGTTTGAATCAGCCACCTGCCTCAGTTTCCCCATTCCAACTTGCCAAGGAATTTTCCTGGCTTTTTGCTATCCTGCGTCAAAATCAAAACTGTGTCTGAGGTAGCTAGGGACATGTTTTTCCAGGGGAGATCATGACCTAGTTAAATTAAAAACGGAGGATTGGCGTTTTCCTGTCAGTTTTAATGGGTGTCGTGGTAAATATGTCCAAAGTATAAATAAGGGATAAAAACAACACTTGTGTTGCGGTTCTTGGGCAGCTATCGTAGGTGAGAGCGTGACAGTAGTTGGCCGAAGAGCAGCCAGCTCCAGGCGGCCTTTATCCTGCCTCCAGGCAGGACCGTGGGCCGCAAGCGCATGGGAGCTCATGGTAGAACTGGCCCTGCTGGGGGCAGATGCAGCTTCCTGCAGCCAGATAAGCACGGCAGGTGTGGCCAGCAGACCAGGGTCACATCCTGCCCGGCTGCTTCCCAGCCACGGGAGGCTCATCCTGGCCTCGATGAACTTCAGTTTCATTATCTATAAAACAGGGTTAATGTAACCATGGTGTCTGCCTCCTAACGTTGATGGAAATATTAAACGAAGTAACAAGTATCGAGTGCTCAGCACAGTGTCTGACACATAGGTGCAGAGGAAATGGTAGCTTTAGGAGGACACTTACACAAGTCCTCTCTTTTCATCTCATCTTTCATTCTGTTTTTTATTCCTAAGAGTATTAAAAACCACAAATAGGACTCAACTAAATGAACATCAGTAGTAGCAAAAAAAATAAATATCCTCAATCCAGTTGTATCGCTCTTTTTCCTGCCCACTCTCCTAGACATGTTAGTTGTAGCAAAGAAAGGTAACAGAATCCTAACACTGGTGGGTTCCTCCAGCACCAGCACCGAGGGTCAGAGAAGTCCTCTACTGCCAGGTGACATTCAGGGACAGCTGCATGGGTGGCAGTGTTGCTGTTAAACTGAAATCATACCGCCTTCCAGTTCAGAATATATCAATGAAAGTTCATTTCCTTCTGTATGATCAATGTCGTTTGCTGTCACTGTGCGTCAGGCACTGGTGGGTACATTACGTACATTCATTATCTCATTAACTCTGCAGATTGGGGTCCAGGACTGCCAGGGTCCCAAGGTGACCCCAGATTCTTTGTTGAGAGGTGCCAACAGACTATAAGCCTCTGGAGAGCACAGAGCTGGTTCTCACCACCTTGCGTCTCAGTTCCCGGCACAGTGTTTAGTTGGATGTTGGGTGAAGGCAGAGGTGCGTGTGTGCCCGCATGCGTGGATGGAGAGGGATGGACCGCCCAGAGTGGGTTCTGAGAACATCTGGTGACAGTCTTTTTTTTTTTTTTTCCAAATAAAAAGTATATTTTAAAGAGATGGAGTGAAGAATTGTAAACCAGTGTTTTTCGTCTATTAATGGATGAACATCCATTAATGGATTAGTCGATCCAGTGGGTCCCAGCTGTGATTTTTGTTTACAGACGGAAAGAACAGAACCGAATAGGGAAAGAAATCATTGCATACGCATACTAATGGTATCGTTTGGTAGAATACGTTTTGTACTGTGGATTTTAATTGTAAAAGTTTGAAGAACTCCATACTGATGCACAAATTACGTGCTCTGTGCACCTTGTGATGTTTTGCTCTCACTGAGAGCTTTTTAAAAACCTCTTTTACGTTTTCCTTACTCATGGTAGTTCTGGTCCTTCTGTAGATAAGGACTGGTATTGAACAGAGTAGAGTGGTCTCAGAGCACGTATTTTTAAGTCTTAAAGATAACCCAGGGCAAACTCAAGGTCAGCCTGCACTGCCATTAAGTGCCCTGGAATTTGTGGAACAAAATCAGCAGAACGACCCATCCAAACACTGAGGTTCCTGCTGCAGTTGAATGAGGTGCTGTGGTGTCAGCTACTGCTCTCTTACCTGAGATAGGTTAGAAAAAGAAATAGTAAGCTTTAATAAATTGTTCTTTGTAAAGTGCCTTTTTATCACCTCATAAAGGCATTTCTATAACTTATTTCTGCTTTAGACCTATTTCTGAAATACAGATCTCATTATCACTGACAGTATTTTAAGTTCCCACTGTGCTGGGCACATCAACGAAAGTCCCTGGAGTGGGTGTGGTCCCTTCCATGATGCTGGGCTACTTCTTCAGACACCACGCAGTGTGTGAGTGTTTCTGTAATGCTCACCGTGTGTCAGATAGGACACGCCTTGCACCTAGTGGCACTGCCACTGCTCCCGAAGCACCGAGTAGGTCATCTTCCGGAAGAGACCGAACTGAATTCTTGCCAAGCTGCTCTTTGAGTTTGGTGCCCAGACCTACCACTGGTGGACCCAGGACACACAAAATTCCCTGGCCGTGAGCTTGAAAATTGGTTGGATAATATAAGATGAAAGATAAGGAAACTGAGTGTAGTACTGTAAGAGGAAAGAATGACACACTCCTGCAAATGTCCACGATGGCAGACCCAGACAGATGGTGAGCCACTGGGATGGCGTGGCGCTGGGTGTCCTGCCCCAGGCACACAGGCAGGGCTGGCGTGGGGTTCAGTTTATGGGCTCAAAGGGAGGGGCTGCCCTTTTAACTCTGTGTGTTATCGCATGGACTTAACTGGTGCTTAGGTAGAGGCTGATGTCGAGACAGATAACGGCCCTGAGTCTTCATCTTTTCAAAGTGGCTTTCCTTTGTGGCCCCAGCACTCAGAGTGTATTGTTTGTCCCTGTGCTGTGGTCTGGAGGGTCAGGAAAGGACCCTCCAGACCCCCTGTCCTGAATTAAAGTTGTAGGAGCCAGTTCATACTCATGCCAGTAAGAAGAATGAAGCCAGAGAACAGGCACCTTCTCCCCCATCTGTGTGTGTGTGTCCTACCTCCTTTGGAACTTTTCCACTTAGGAACAAAATTGACCTCTTTCTTCTTCCTGTGCAGACTCGCTCTTTACTGAGTGTATTTGAAGAGGATGCTGGCACCCTCACCGACTACACCAACCAGCTGCTCCAGGCGATGCAGCGCGTCTACGGAGCCCAGGTACCCGCTGTCCCCTCCCCGGGAGAGGGGCGGAAGAGGGCCTCTGCCCTCCTCTGGAACTTCTCTGAGGGGGCTGAGAAATCTGAGTCAGAACAACACCATTTACAATTTTGAAATAAAATCAGAATAGTTGTTCTCACTTTGGTTCACCTTCAGAAACGAGGACAATCTGTTTTCATTGCTGAAGCACAGAGTCCTGTCCCTGGGACTGGTAGCACCAGTAGAGAGGGGCCGCAGCACTGCTTTTGACTCATTAAACAGTTCAGCCTCAGAGGGAAGCCCTTGAGCCTCTGTTCCTCGTGTGGGTCAGCCGGGTCAGCGCTCCGACACATGCTCTTTGTCCCTCCGTGAGCAGGCGTCTTAGATGCCAGTGCAGGCGGCAGGGGCTGTTTTTCAAGCACTTCCTCTGAAAAGACTGGAGTCACAGTTCTGAAACTATGGGGTAGCTTCTTTGTTTTGAGGAACAAATATCTCTGGCTTGCAAACCGTGGCAAATAAATTGCTGAGTAGCAGAAGCGAATCTTTGTAAGATCAAGAAGTGCCCATGTATGTTACTTTCCAAGAGAAGACTTGAGAGTGTCTTAAAAATAAAATTCAATGTGTTACACATCAGAATGTTGTGGCAGCTGATTCTTTTGGTTATTGATTTTTTGCTGACTTAAACCTGTACATGTTAATGTTTTTGTCATTGATGACCTCTAAAGAAACAGCACACCCTGTATTTAATAGCAGCATGTATTAATGCTCACTATAGTCTTTATTGAATAGCTCTCGATACTCACTTATAATTACTTATTCTCATTATTTTAGTCCCTTATTCGTGTCATGAATGGGAAGAAGGCTCAGCTCTTGCCACTAGGGAGCTTACAGGTGGGCAGAGAGACAGACAGAACAGCCACCTGAGAGCGTGGGCAGTGCCAGGAGAGCGGGTCAGCTGACCCAGAGGAACTGAGTCGGGCACCTAACAGGAAGACGGTCCTGATCGTTGAGGTTTATTGAAACCCAGTAGCTTCCAGGCACGGTTTCGGGGGCTCTTAACGTGGATCAGTTCATTTAAATTCCCCGACAACTCTGTGGGGCGGGCTTTGTTAGTATCCTCATTTTATATAGGTCAGGAGACTTAAGGATTCCGATGATGAGTGAGTACCCTGTCGAAGTTCACCCCATTAATACCTGGCAGAGCAAGTCAGCCTGAAGGCAGAGTCCAGACTCGAAACTACTGGGTGTGGGATGTAGCTGCAGAGATGGAAAGAAGTGCATGAGTTTAGGAGGTGGATCAGGGACCAGCTGGATGTGGCGGGATCTGGTTGGGAAAGGAAGACTCAGCCTGAACATCAGCTGAGGACAGTTGGGAGAACACAGGAAGAGGAGAAGGGTGTGTGCGTACTGGACGGGATGTCAGCATAATTCTATCGAAGGGCTGATTTTGAGATGTCTGTAGGTCATCAAAGGTGGGGAAAGAGATCTTGTTGAAAGTTCATAGTCAGAGGTCAGGCCACAGATACAGAAGTGCAGGCTGTATTATAAGTGTTGCTTATTAATTGGAACTAATTTTAATGACCAAGTGAATTGTGTTCGTTTGCAGTTTTGCATATTTGTTGGTAAGACATTCAGAAACTGGGGACATACTTTGTCTATTTTTCAAACCCTGTTTATTTATATTATCTGTTTCATATTTTCCCCTAAATATTCAAAATTTAAGACAGTAAAATATTTTGACTGGGCTTATACCTGAACTTGCTTGCTGTTCAGTAATTTAAATGCTGTCATTAAGTGATTTGTTTTTCTGTTTCAAGGATTGTGTCAGGGCACCAAGACTTAAGGGACCGTGTCTCTGCCACTCCCAGCGGTCTCTCGTCTACCTGTCCTTATCTGTCAGAGTCATTTACTTGATGTTCAAGCACTTTCTCACTGCGTTTTATCTCTCGAGCCAGAAAGCTGAGTTTTGCCAAAGTTAAGTGGGTCTTGCATTTCAAGAGGCTGTAGCTGGCTTTTAATTCACACCAGATGGTCATCACATGGGCTGCCCTCCCGGCCAGAAAGCCTTCCTCCTGCCTCCCTGCCGCAGAGGCGGGCGGGGACATCTGGCCAGTGGCATTCAGACCAGCTGGGTCAGGGCCGGTGGGTTTCCCAGGTTTATTTGAAGACTTAGGTGTTTTGTTTTGTTCTGAATTTAAAAAAGAAAACTTTTCTGACTTCTCTTTGATCGGTATATATATATTTCTGTCTCTCAGGGTTTTCATTCTGCATTTTCTGTTATATTTTCTTAAATATAACTTAGAGAAACATTATTTCTTAATATATTTTCTACCTAGATCCATTGCATTAGATTCATATAGTTTTATAATTTTGTTTTTGAAAACAGAGGTACTTAGCAAGAGGCAGGTTTTCATTATATTTTAAAAACCAGGTTTGTGCTGCTTATAAATGATAAATGTTCATAAAAGGTATTTTCATCAGACCTCATAGTAAATTCTGTATTCCGAGATAGCAGATGCCCTTCGTACCTCAGTTTTAGAAAGAGGAAGGGCGAGAAGAACTAGAGGAAAGCTCTGTGAGCAGTTTTGCTGATTGTGGGGAGGTTTTAAATTCTGTTTGGCGCAAGTGCTAGATGCAGCTGTGGTCCGTGAGCCGCCTTCAGCGTTTTGAAGCCTTCCGGAGCCACGTCTGGTCTTTCTGCGCCGTCAGACATGCCTTTGCACGGGGTGGGAACCGAGTGCTGCGTACAGGTCGTGCGGAAGACGGCAGCTGTACACGTTTCTCGGGCGTGAACCGAGCAGAGACAGGTTACTTAGATCTGCTGTGTTTCGAACTATTAGCTGAATGAGTTAAGAACCTCCGTAGTGTCTGAACAGAAGCAAGTGCATATGTATTCTCACCTGGGCTGGTGCAGCATTGACCCGAACAGTCTTCCTGTCTTCGGGAGGCATCTTCCCCTTCAGTCCCTCCTCCACCCTACAGCTGAGTCGATCACATCCAAACCTCCCTCCCCTCGCTGTCTTCAGATGCTTCGGTGACTCCCTGTAACCTCGGCAGAGGTTAAACTCGGTAAGGCGCTCACAGATCTTCGTGCGCTGTCAGCCTCGCCTTCGGCTGTTCTAGAATGTGTCGGCCTCTGGACACATCCCGAGACTTTGCTATGCCGTTCCTGCGGGCAGGCAGCCCCATCAACCCTCCCCGGCTTTTCAGACTAACCTGAAGTCCAGATGTGTCTGACACCTTTGCTCTCTACCTTTTCTCCCTTCCTGGCCAGAATGCCCCTGTGTGCCAGGTGCCCTGTGCACCCGTTGGCCAGTGCACTTAAGGTGCGGCGAGTGGGGTTTCCTTGTCCCTCTGTGGACCGCGAGCTCCCAGAGAGCAGATTCTCTTTGTCTCCGATGCCCAGCGCCAGGCCTGGCCCCACTGTACAGTTTACTGTCACTCCCAAATCTGTCCCCTCCTTGGGTGCTTAGCTAGGGGCCTTGTCCTCCATCTGTCATCCAGACTAGAGCCGTTTTCTTAGGCTCCTCCCCCTTCCCCACTTAGAATGTGCTGTGGTTTATGACGCAGGAATATGCGCAGATCTCTGCCACCTTCTCCACTTTGTGGTTCGGGCTCAGACCTGTGTCCACCTCTCACTTGACTTCCTTCAGCTGGTCTCCTGACCCTGGTGCCATTGTCTCCTTTCAGTGTTTTTTTTCCACCAGAGCCACTCAGGACTGTGCTCAGTGCCCACCTGATCTTGTCCTTCATTTGCCCAAGTGCCTCAGGGCTTTCCTGTTACCTTGGGAATCACAGGTGCCCCCAAACTCGGCCCTCTGCCTCCGTTCCTGCTGCACCCCACCCCGACCCCCATGTGCCTCCCACCCCAGGACTCCTGAACTAGAGCCACCCACAACCCAGGTCTGCGGTAAGCACTGGTAGATGGGACTGTCAGCCACTTGGCTCCAGGAAGCATTTCTGGTCAAGTACTTGGTATAGATCTAAGCAAATGCCCACACCTAGACTTTGACTCCAGTGGGTTTCCACTGCCCTGCCCCCAGCCTCTCCATTCACGCACACTGCGGATGGTGCCGTCCACAGGGGTTTCAGGTGACGTTTGAGTTAGGAGGCACTCTGGGCCACCCTAAGATAAACATTCCTTTACCAAAATCTCGGTTTCCCTTCCAGGTTTGCTAACCACGGGTCTGTCTGCCTTGGCGGCAGCCTCGGGAGACTCTGTCTTACACGGGAGTGCGCGTCAGGCAGCCCTTCGTTGGGTGCTCTTTGTAAAGGGTTCTTGTGAGGCATCAAGTTAGGCAGTAACCAGAGAGTTCTTCCAGTTTCCGGAAGCAGTCACGGGAACCCATGACGCATCTAAGTGGCGGGACTGCAGCTACACCTCTTTTGCTGGACTGCAGCTACAAAAGCATGGGATTTACGTCCGTATCGTCAGCCCAATGGGGCTGCCTGCCCAGCACTGACTAGATACACTTCGGGGCTTTGGGTTGGAGTAGTGGAGTGTTAAGAACTCGAGCTTTAGCTTTCGAGTCCGCCAGATCTGAGTTGAGTCTTTGCCTTGCCAGTTACAAGTTGTGTGATCTCAGGAAGTCATTATCCTCTCTGATGGCCCCTACGTCATAGGTGTGCTCTAAGGATTAAATGTGACAGTACCTGAAAAACACCAGCAGTGTCGAGCGCTAGGAGGGGCTGAATAAAGGTTAGCAGCTGTCTTCATTGTTGCGATTACTCACATTGACTCTGCCCAAGCTCCAGCTTGGCAGGTCTTGTTGCAGAGATAATTGTGCGGACTCACCTGAGAGGGCGTGGACTAATGAGCTGGTGCGGCTAAAGCAGCTCAGGAAGCCTTTGCACAGTCTGTGCGGGAGGTTGCGTCAGACGACAGCTGGCCCAGTTCGGAGACTTTCCTCCCAACGGCTCCATACAGGAAAGGTGCATTTCTTTTAGGACGGGTGACAGGTGACGGGCCATTTCTGACTTCCGGCTTGTTCCCAGTGAGATCCTGCTAGCAGAACAGCACGGTGCTGCCTGGAATGACACACGCGTGAAAACACACAGCTTTTCATCCGGCATTTCTAGGAGAGACGAGGCAGGGTCCCTTGCACGCAGTTGTCGAGAGAGTAGCTGCAGTGTGCCCTGCACCCTCCTTCCTGCACTCCAGGGGTCTCGTGCGGCCTCTGTACCGGGTGCAGTGTGGTGCCCGCGGCTCCCTGGGGCACTTGCCAGTAAGCACCAGAGAAGAGAAGACTTCAAGTAGCCTGGGGCCCTCTCGTGTTTTGAAGGCAGAAAGGGGGTTATCCTATCTATTGACCAGTCTCTAAAGGCTACAGATACGGGGGAGTAATGTTTTAGACGTAGCCAAAGTTAAAAGAAAAAGGAATGAATTCGAAGGACAGAAAACATTTCCTGAATCTGAAGTTGTGTGGCTTAATGGAGCGCCTCCTGAGGAGGCCGTGGCAGCAAAGTGCGCTTCTGAAACATTCACCGTCTACAGCAGGGTCAGCGACAACCTGCCCTCGGGCCAGCCTCTCGTTGTTGTAAATAAAGCTTTATTGGAGTGACGTCGCACTCCTTTCCTGTGGGCTGCGCATGCCACCTCCATGCGGCAGCAGCAGGGTTGAGCAGCTGTGACAGAGCTGTGACCAACCTCACAAGCTGAGAACGATGCCTGCCTGTCCCTTTACAGCAAGTTCGTCCAGTCCAGTCCACAGCAGAGACCTTCCCGACTACCTCTCAGCAGGACTTGGCTCTTAGGGAACGGTGTTCAACACCGTGGGTTCTAGTCGGACAGACTTGGGTTCACTTCCCAGCCCAGCTGCTGACTAGCTGTGTGACCTCAGGCAAGCAAGTGGCTTCACCTCGGTGTGCCTGTGTTTTCATCTGTGGAACTGAGTTAATAATTAAAGCCTGCCTTACTGGATGTCAGAATTAAATGAGATGATGCTGGAATGCACTCAGGGTGGTGTCTGGCAGGAATTAGGTGCCCTGTGATTGATGTTCACCGCTGTCGTTGGGGTGATTCTGTGGGTCAGTGAAGTGTAGTGCATGGCGCAGCCCCAGGCAGATGCCCAGGCAGCTTGAACAGATCCGTCCTAAACCCAGTGCTGACAACTCAGGGGAGTAAGGACGCTGCCGATGCAGCTGAGAATCAGCCAGTGAGTGGGCTAAGACCCTGGTTCGCACGCACCGTGGTCTCCAGAACAACACGGCTGAAGGTGGCGGCTGTGTCCTGCTGTTGCTTTATCCCTGGCCCCTTGTCATGTTTCATTCCCCTTCCCTGCCGCTTTCGATGCTTCCTTGTAGGACTAGGCAGTATTTTCCTCCTCACAGCACAATTGAGGGTATTGTTTTAAACTTGGAATCTGGATGAATCTTCTGACCTTGTTTGTTCACTCATTCATTCATCCAGCACTTGCCGGGTGCCCACTGTGTGCTGGGGATGGTGGCACGTCCCTGTCTAGAAGCCTGACTTGGTGCTGGTGGCCTTGCCCACTCGCCTTCCTCTTGGCCGCCAGCTCTGGCTGGTTTGGAAAGGGGTGGCACCCAGTAGGTTAATTATATTTGCCTGGCTTTATTTCAGGAGGAAAGGAGAGAGCCACGTTTCAGGGTCTGTTAAGCCTGTCCTTGGGGCAGGTGAAGAAAACCAGGGAAAGGGTTAGCCAGCTGTCTGCAAAGAGGGTCCTTTAGGTTGGATTAGGCCCCGCTGCATCTGGCAAAGGAGGACCATGAAAAATGAAACAAGCCCCTGTAGAGCTCAGTCCTCACCCAAAGGAACAGCAAACCCAGGAATATTAGAAAGTAAGTGGAGGCCAAGGCCAAGGCCAAGTCAGGCCAGCACCCCGCCCCCGTCTGCTCCAGGCCAGACCTGGTGGCACTGCTCTGCTCTTGGGAATAAGCCCTGGATCTGAAGAGAAGCTTTTGCTGAGCTGTAGAAACCTAAGACACGTTTTCTAGGCTGGGTCCATTTTGGCGGGCTTGGGGATAGTTGTAGAAAACTGCTGTGCAGCCAGAGATTAGAGGGATAAGAAAGAGAAGAGGAAAGTGGACGGTGTTGGCCAGTGAAAACTGCTCAGAGGGGCCTCCCAAGCGTTGCAGCCATGCTTCCGTGGTGCTGTCCGTCCCTCTCGCGCTGGGCTCTCAGTTTGCCACCATCCGATTGTGTCCCGGTGCTGCTCCGGTCCCCACCACGGAGTCCTGCCTGCCCTGGCTCTGCCTGCCCTGCGGCCCTGTACCGCCCCCGTGTTCTGCACCCCTCGTTCCCCCTGCACTCCGCTCTGTCGCTCTTCCAACAGGCAGGCTGTGCTCTCTGCCCACCTGGAGGCCCCTCCTTCTGGGGAGCTGCCCCCTGGGCTAACTCTTACTCTTTCTTCAGCTTAAAACATCTCTTCCTTAGACACCCTCTGGGCCGTCCTCTCAGAACCCCCTAACGCCCCCAGTGTTTCCTTTGGGGTTCTCGTTATGCGCGTGCGTGACTGTTGCCTTGGTATCTGCTTCCCCCTTAAGCCCCGGGAGGACGGGACCGTGCCTTTGTCGACCACGTTGTACTTGTTCACTACGTCTCTTTACTGACTCAACAGCCAGAAGGAGCAGCCCTTTGTAAAGGGCGGCGGGGGTGGGGCAAGCTTTAACCTTTGATTCTGTTCTTCCAAATAATTTCTGGACAAAATAATTATTTTACACACACATATTTTTAAGGAATTCTCTGAAGTGCCAGTTTTCGGCGACTGTGTCTGCATCGAACAAGTCTTAGTTGCTTTTCTCTTCTCCGTGCAGAATGAAATGTGCCTGGCCACTCAGCAGCTTTCGAAGCAACTCCTGGCGTATGAAAAACAGGTAACGTGACAGTCACGTGGCACCTGATGCTGCGCTCAGGACTTCCTAGACTGGAGCTCTTCGCACAAAACTCCCCAGAGGCGTTCATTCTTTACAGACCTCGCCCTCCCTTCTGCCCCCGCCCGGCCTCCCTCCCTCTCTTTTTTCCCATAGCCCATCTTCATTGTTTTCTTTTTTCTTGTCTTTTCCTTCCCCCTGATAAATTCCAACTGGTGATTATCTCAGAGCCTGTGTGCTGTGTTCTCCTTAGCCTATGGAGGTGTCCTCAGCGGCCCCTCAGGGAGGGCTCACAGTCCCCGAGGGACTGCAGGTGACCTGGCACTGGCAACTCCAGGGAGTAAAGGCAGAGTTGCCGTGATGTCCGAATGGGAGGGCGATGGCCAGCGGAGGACTAGTTTGGAAGGGGCCGTCGGGTGCACGGTCGGAGCCAAAGAAGGGGAAAGCTCACCTTCTGCCATTAGACGCTTTGACGTGCTCGTGGGAGAAGAAAGGCAACGCAGAGAGTGTGTGTGGTGGGGCAGCGTGGACAGTGTGCGTGGTGGGAGATGTGGACAGTGTGCGTGGTGGGAGATGTGGACAGTGTGCGTGGTGGGAGATGTGGACAGCGTGCGTGGTGGGAGATGTGGACAGCGTGCGTGTTTGGGTGACACTGTGGTGCTAAATTCCCAACCATTCAGTTAACGCCCGGCTCCTCTGTTCTTTGGTCTTAGAATTTTGCTCTTGGCAAAGGCGATGAAGAAGTAATTTCTACACTTCACTATTTTTCCAAAGTGGTGGATGAGGTAAGATGGCAATGTAGCAAAAAAAAATTTGATTCTGTTTTTGAACTTCCAGTTTTTGTTTGGTCTACTTTCCATCTTTAGGTATCTGCTTAAATGTCTAAGACTTTATCTCACCTTGTTGATGTTACAAGGTTTGTTTCATAAAAGAGGCTTTATATTACCGTATTTGTTCCTGGTTTGAGGGGAAGGGCTTTGGCATTCACGAACAATAGACCAAAAGAAAGGTTTCTAAGAATTTAGTTTCCTGAGGAGGGCGTATTAGTCTCTCCAAGCTGCTGTAATAAATTGTAAGTAGGTGGCTTAAACAGTAGACGTCATCCCCTCACAGTTCTGGAAGCCAGAAGTCTGGCGTCAAGGTGTCCGCAGGGCTGTGCTCCCTCCGGGGGATGTGGGGAGGGTCCTTCAGGTGTCCTTGGCTGGTGACTGCTTCACGCCGGTCTCCACCCCTGACTTCACGTGGCCTCTCCCCGATGCTTTTCCTTTCTGTCTGTGTCCACTCTTCTTACAAAGACACTTGTCATTGGATTTAGACTCCACCTGCATAGCCCAGGATGATCCCACTTCACGATCCTTCGTTATATCTGAAAAGACCACTTCTCCAGTATTTCCATGTTCCCGATGGACATTTCTTTTGTGGGGGTGCAGGCCCCGGGGCATGATTCAGCCCGCTCCCAAAGGTTTCATACCACTGCCCTTGTGGCTGTATTGTAGAATGCACTTGGAAGATTTGTGAAAAGCAGCCATCGTTGTAGGAATGGAGCACATAAATCCGAATTGTAAAACGAGGGCTCAGACGCTCCTCGTGCGGGGCAGAACCCTCTGCAGAATTAGGTAGGTATGAACTGTTCATCCCTCAAGGAGTTTGCGAACCTGTCATAGAAAATCCCGTTAAAGAATAAGCAAAAAAGGGAATATACAGATGCCACTTAACTGTTGAATCCTTAATATGATGCAGGCACTGTCTTTAGTTGATAAAATGAGAAACTAATATTCATATAAAATTACACTGAGAGCATTTTCATTCATTCAGCAAATTAGTCCAAAAGTTGGCTGTTCGTTCCACAAACGTGATTGGCCACCTGCGGCTCAGCAGCTGCCGTGCTGGGCGCCGGCGACGTTAACAGACAAGTTGGTTCTTGTGGAGTCTCGTCCTCTATCCCACTGCTGTGACTTCCTGCAAAATGTGTGACGAAGCGGAGGGGTGGTGTAATGAGAAAGGAGCAAAGAGTATTTTCTTTTGGAAAATGAAGAGAAGAATGTTTATTAATTAACAGCGCATAAATAAGCGAGCGAGGGGCAAAGACAGGACCTACTGAAGCCACATGTTTTCTGGACTAGAAGAGAGTTGCTAAGGCAATAGGGTTAGTTGTCAAAAGCCCGGAGCCAAGATTCCCAGTGCGAGATGTGTACTGACGTCCTTATCTTCGTGGGCAGGAGTGACTGTTACTTTAGTGGAGAGCGAATCATTTCCTAAAGGACAGCAACCTGGAAGAGCCAGTGTGCGAGGAGGTTCACGGCCTCCCTGAAGTTTTCTTCTTTGTAACACCCGTGAGTAGCGGCTGTTAGCTCAGGGGGAAAGAGAAGACTGGTTTTTGAGGTGGTTTGCTCTTCTTGGGCCTAAACCAGGTTAAAAATTCCTAAGACAAGTAGGGTGACCGAGAAGTTGAAGAAAACAACTAACAGTACAGATTCGTGCGGTTTATATTTAATAGACTCGGACCCAGGTCTCCTGTAGCGGGCATGCAGAGACTGTCGTACTTGGTGGTTTCCCCAAAAGCAGGGATTCTAGGCCACGTCCTTGGAGTGCACCTGAGGCAGGAAGTCGTCATCATTACCGATTCCATTTGCCAAGCGGGCGTCGGGCCCTCGGCCCTGCTCTGTGTTTCCCGTTCACGTTATGCTCCATCTTCACAGTAGCCATGCAAGGAAGATGGTGTTGTGCCCATTTTCTCTGTGATGCTGCTGAAGTGCATCCTCTGCCCACTCTGCTCGGTGAAGGCACTGTGTGTGGAGATGGTGGTCCCCTACCTCTCAAAAGCCCCAAGGCAGAAAGCTGATGGCACACACCTTCTGAACCTTAAGAAGAAATTAGGAAGAAAATGAGTATTTAGGAAATTGCCATTCCTGAAATGAATAGTCATTGGAAGCCACTTAACAGTCCTGAGTTTTAGCTTCTCTGCCTGCCAACGGCAGTATTGAAAGCCTGCTTAATTGGAACATTATAAAGGTTAAATGAAATAATGTGTATCAGAGCATTGAGCACAGAGCCAGGCACATAGTAGGTACACTTGTTGACTTCAGTTAACTTAGTGAAAACCAGTGCATTTCTTATTGAAGTTATTTAGGGAAAATCATTAATGCATTCCATCCCGATGGCTAGTTCATTGGCATGACCGTCTTCCAGCATTCCCAGCTGAGTGAAGCCGCCTGACCTTGGCTTGATTGAAAGGCAGGAAGAGCAGGACCAGCTTGGCCTAGAGCTCCTTGCCGGGCAAGTGGCTGACCTGAGGCAAGCTTTCAAAGCAGCCTCTGCAGGCACACCGCTGAAGTGGGGAGGTCTCTGTGCAGGAGGGGACACATATGTTGCTGCCGTCACTGCTGAAAGAAGCCTTGCCATATGTTCACTGCACAAAATGCCTGCTGGGTGACTGCCCCACTCACCCAGCAGGAGCCCTGGAACATCCTCAGTAATCTCAGAAAGACTGTGGCGCAGGGCAAGATTCCCTTCCTCTGTGTTCCCGGCTGACGTCTGGGCGGCCAAACGTTTGAAGTCTTGGCAGCTTTGAGAGCGTGGAAGACAAACCGTGTGATTCAGACTGTGGAGGGGGAAGAGCATGGCTTTTGGATCCCAGTTGCCCAGGATTAAAATCCCAGTGGTGCCCATGTGTGCTATCCGAATTGGGAGCCTTCCCCGCTTGTCTGTAAAACGGGTGATAAATAACACTCGCTCACAGGTGGGAACTAAATGGTGTCCAGCACGCGAAGCTGCTCTGCAAAAAGTCATCCACACAGTAGTGCTGACGGGGACCGTTCTGGTTTCCCTGTGACTGCTGACAACGAAAGGACTTAGTAAGGCCTTGAGGCAGAGGGAGAGAAGGAACCAGGAGCTGTTAGAATGATCTGAGTGGAGAACCACGTGTGGATTCAGTCATCTTGTTGTTCTTAGAAAGATTCTTTTCTAAAGAGCAGAGGCTTGGAGTCGGGCTGAGTTGTGTCAGTGGGGAGCTCTGTCTCCGGAGAGTCATTTCCCGGCCCACAGCTGGCTGTGGTTTGAGGGTTAGCAGGTTCCCAGCAGGCCTGACTTTGAAGTGTGCCTTCAGCCCTCTGACTGTGAGAGTGCTCACAGTGGCCTGGGGAGTGGCCACTTGCACTGACACTGAGTAAGCAGCTCGCACTGCCAGCACGAGAGAGCAAGGGCTTCCCTGGGCGGGTGCAGCTTAGACCGACAGCACTGAAGCCGAGTTTACCCAGTAAACAAACAATAACTGTGGGCACAGAGACTCCTTTAGCAAACTTGCCTGCTCAGTTAGAACCCCACGTTGCTGCTTCTTTTTTCACTTCTCATCCAAGGACATGCTTGTTCATTTTAGGGGTGTGGGGAGGGGAGAAGAGACATCTATTGGCAGCCTCAGCACATGCCCCAACCTGGGATCACACCCCCAGTCCAGGCATGTGCCCTGACCGGGAATCGAACATGCAGCCTTTTCATGCGCAACCCACAGGGCTTGTGTTTAGTTTCTGATACCTCGAGGCCTCTGTCATTTTCTGCCCTATGAGGGTATTTATTTGCTGTAACTGAGCTCTTTAACCACTCAGAAGTGTGCAGAGTGACTCCTGGGTGAAATAAAACAGTGAAAGTAATTGTGGATATAATTTTCTTCAATAGATTTCTCTTTCTTTCAGCTTAATGTTCTCCATACAGAGCTGGCTGAACAGTTGGCAGACACAATGGTTCTGCCCATCGTACAATTTCGAGAAAAGGATCTCACAGGTAAAGTAACTGAATTCAGTGCCAGTTACCCTCAAAGTACTAATTCATTGAATAATAATTGGTATGCATTAATTTCCTTAAATGTGTGGATCACTGAGAAATGCCCTTTCTTTTGAGCAGCTCAATTTAACTAACTTTTAGTGACTCCTCATTGTGTTCTTGGTTCATCCGAAGGAGGTCAGAGGCCAACAGCACCCTTGTTGGGTGGCCCCAAGACAAATTTGACATGTCAGTGCAAACTGTGCTTGAGTCAGCGTTAGAGCCAACTTGGAGTCTGGCATCCCCCTGCCCCCGCCCCCGAGACAGTGGAGTCTCATTTTGCTGCCATTTTCATTAAGAAAGCTACTTAAAACTGATAAGGAAAAACATCACAACTCTGCTCCCAAAGGAAGTAAAAAAGTGAGAGAGAAGTAAGAAAAAATGCAAGAGAAAGACAGGAAGCAGCACGATATCTGAAAGGGTAAAAATAATATGAAGAGAAATTGAAAAGCTGGAGGGAGTGTTGAGGTAAATTGAACAGCAACATAACACACATGAAAATGCTCTGCTTTGATAAACTAAGAATAGAGAGTTTTAAAGTTGTGGAAGATGACACTTTCTTTTAGCTATCTGTGCTTTTAAGTTTTTAACCGTGAACACTCCTTGCTCTTGCTGATCTGTTGGTGGTTTTGGTCTCGGACGTTGTTCAGCCGTCTTCATGTGGGCCGGCTGTAGCGCCCCCGTGGGGAGCAGGTACCGGCGCTGGCTTACTCCAGTACAGCACCCTGGGTTGCTTCACACTTTTTCATGAAAAGAAGCACCATGTGTTCCTTGGTCAGTGCGGGGAAACTCCTGGGGTTTGGATGTAGTCAGAGCATTCTGAGGAAAGATGAGCTAAAACAGGTTGGGGCGGAAGAATCAGAGCTCACATTTTTGCCACCACCACTCTAGCTCTGCCCTCGTCCCTAAGTGCCCCCTCGGTCATCGACCCTCAAGGGCTCCCTGAGCACAGAGTGCAGCTGCAGCCATGAGCTCCAGTGAGAGCAGGATTCCCAGGCACCGGGCCGGGAGGGCCGAGGACCGAGAGCCGCTGGCAGGGCCTCCTCCCCCGCCCCCGTGGACACCTGTATTTTTGTGGGGAGGCATAAAGCTTCGGGTTGGTTTGTTTCGTTCTGTGCTCCAAGACGTTTCTTTTCTCTTGTGCAGAAGTAAGCACTTTAAAGGATCTGTTTGGACTCGCCAGCAGCGGTAAGCACCCCCTGCGTCCTTGGCGTGTGGGTTCCTAGTGTGTCTGTGGCCAGGGACGCTGGGTGAGTGTTCGTGCCTTTCAGCCTGTCTGGTGCTAAAACGTCTCTCTGCTTTTAGAGCATGACCTCTCAATGGCAAAATATAGCAGGCTTCCCAAAAAAAAGGAGAATGAAAAGGTAAGAATACCCGCCTTACGTGTTGTTTTTCACCTCGTTGACTTAAGCTCCTTTTGCGTCTTCCTGTTGCGGGTTTGTAGTTTTGAGGATGTCTTAGTTAATTTCTTGTATTTTTTCCTATACATGGCCTTTTTAATTTTTAAATTCTAAGTAGATGCCTACTTCTCAATTCCAGCTTTAAACACTGATTTTCAAACACCAAGTTGGAACCATTGCAAAGTTACAGCCAGCCATGATTTTTACTACACTTGGGTGTGATTATCTGACTCACACCCACGCACGCACCAGAACTCCTTGCCCTGGGTGTTCACTCTGAGTTTTGAACCCACACTTTCTAGCTTTTTTTGCTACTATGAAACATATGGAATGTTTTCGGGTGTCTAGCTTTTGTTTCTGTCACCTGGCTCCCAGGGGGGCAGGCTCTCGGGTGAGCCACCGCGGCTGTGGCACTCAGTGCTCGGGCCTGCTTTTCTCCTATTTTAATGGGGTTTTTAAATTTTTATTTATCTTTAGAGAGGAGAAGGGAAGAAGAAAGAGAATGAGAGAAACATCAGTGTGGGGTTGCCTTTTGCATGCCCCTAACTGGGGCTCTGGCCTGCAACCCAGGCCTGGGCCCTGACTGGGAATTGAACCAGCAACCCTTTGGTTCGCAGGCTGGCACTCAGTCCACTGAGCCACACCAGCCAGGGCTACTTTGGTGTTTTCATTTGGACTTATATAAAAACAGGAGGTGGAACCGTACCTGCATTTTATCCTCTTTGTCACAGAAGAGGGTCTGATGTATACACACGTTTGGAAGTTGCATGTGTTTATAGAATCACCGTGTCCGATAGAGAACTCGGGGTTTTCCTCCCCGCTCTCCCACAGGTGAAGACCGAAGTAGTGAGAGAGGTGGCGGCCGCCCGGCGGAAGCAGCACCTCTCGTCGCTGCAGTACTACTGCGCCCTCAATGCACTGCAGCACAGGAAGCGAGTGGCCATGATGGAGCCCATGCTGGGCTTCGCCCACGGACAGGTGAGACCCAGGCCATCCGTGGGGGCCGCGTGGCGTCCCGCTGGGGGAGCAGCACGCAGGACAAAGGGAAGCGTCATCGGGAGGAAGCACAGGTGTGGAGCCTCCCGGGAAACCTTCCACGTTCAGCACTGGCAGAGCTTCCAGTTGGGCCGATCGGCGACAGCGGGACTTGTTAGGCTGTACATACGTGCAGGAGTGATGGCCTTGACCCCTGCCTCCCGTGGGGAGGAGCCAGCATGGCCTGGTCTCTGATCTAGGTGACAGGCAGCACTGGTCCCATTGTCTGAGGAGCAGCTGACAGACAGTTCAGGTTGTAGAGCCAGGCTCGCCAGCTCAGACTCCGCCCGGTCCTCGGCCACACTGTGCGGTGAGGTCACCCTCAGCTGGGCTGTTCTCAGGTGATTGTGGCGGATCAGTTGCCACCCCGACTGGGGTTCGAACCTGCAACCTTTTGGTGTGTGGGATGATGCTCCAGCCAACCGAGCCAATGGGCCAGGCCCAGAGCAGCCCTTTTACATCAGTGTCCATCGAGTGTCCCCTTTGTTAGCTGTTGGTCACTTGACCGTGGTACTTCCCACTGCTCACAAAGGCACACGAACTTTGGTCTTGGGACGATGTTCCTCTAAACCAGAATTACCACCATCATCTGCCTTAGGGGAGATGATGATGTTTGTTCGACGCCATTCCTGCCTTCCCCGGCCGCAGTTAAACAGGTCTTCCACCGAGTCCTGATCCAGGCCTCGGGCCTGCACACAGTGGGGCCTGCACACAGTGGGGTCCTGTAGTCTGTGCATGCTCACAAGAGCACACGAATGGACCCCAGTGCAGTGTGTATGGGGCAAGTGGTACGTGACGTGGCCGCAGAAGCCAGGATCTCACCCCTTCCTCCCACTCACTCATCAGGTTTTTGAGGGAGCACATGAACCCCATCCCAGGAGCTTAGGTGAAGGAGCTAAGACATGGACTTGAGTATGAACTCCAGGTTGTTCAGGGAGGGGCAGGAGAGGAAGAGCCACCAGGATGCTGTGTCCCTGGAAATGCATAATACACACTTAACAGGCGTCGATGGTGGGCACTGCAAGGGTTCACAGTGTTCATCGCTGTGTGACTCGAAGATCCTGGGGCCAGAACATCTCCCTGCGTGCACCACCTTGCGTTGGGGTAATCCTGGTCGTCGTCCATTTTCGTGCTGTGAAAACTCAGGATGTGGTGTCTGTGCTTCCCATGCCACAGAACCGTTCTGATAGCACCTGCTGGTCTCCTCGGGGTGCGAGGTCAAGGTCTGTGCCCCCCCCCCCCAGGGCAGGGCTGCTTCAGGTCAGACAGACAAGCTGGGTGACACGTCCGAGCGGAACGGGGTCCCTCCTCCATGACATAGGTCTGCAAATGTGACCTCTCTGCAGACAGGCGTGTACAAGGGTGCGGCAGCCCGTCCAGCACTCACCTAGCCACACAGAGAGACGGAAGCTCGGGCTTTTCGGGGCGGGGTGGTTGCAGATGTGAGTAAGGCATGGAGGTGGTCGGCCTCCCGTCAGTCCTGCACCCCTGTCCTCCAGGGTTTGTCGGGGGCCCAGCCATTCTGGGAAGTGAACACCCGGGGCTCACAGCAAGTAAGGGATTCCTTTGGTTGGTGCACAGAAAGCCAGGGCTGCAGTTTCATTTCAGACCGTGTGGTCCTCGGGTCTGCTCGGCCGCTCTTCCCGGGCAGAGCGCACGTCCATCACAGAATGCGGGGGGCAGGAGGGGCCTGGCCTGCGCTGAGCGGCCGTGCAGTGCCAGGGCCTGGCCGCGTCCTTTACCTGCACGGTCCCCTATCAGTTTGGGTTGGGGCCAGAAGAGCCTTTTAAGGGTCTTCAGCCCAGTTTTCCCTCTGGAATTTAGCAGCCATGTCACCACCGTCCAGCCTGTGGTCAGAGCTGCACGTGGTTCAGTGATCAAGGTCGATTGGGGCGGCCCTCCCCTCTCGGAGACCACCTCACACTGCTTGTTTGCTTCTTGTGGGGGGTGTGCATGGCACTTGTCACACACCGGTTTAGCCATTGAAGGTGCAGAGGTGAAAAAGACCCAATCCCTGCCCTCAAGAAACCTGCGGAAATTCACTCAGGAAAAAGGCTGATGATAAATATCAAAATTAATTATCCGTAGTAGTTACTGACACACCTGGTATATGCCAAGCTTTTTAACTTAGATAATTCCTGAGCCCTACAGCCTTATGGCAAGATAGCAGGGTTCACCATCCACTCTGCGCAGGTGCCCCAGGTTTGGGGGGTAACTGGGCTGGTGGGACGGGGGGCTCATCGGGGGGCTGCCAGTGCTGTGGGCGAGGAGGGCCCGGCAGCCAGTGTGTGCTGTCCCCTCACTGTCATCTCCCCACTACAAACTCGTCGGCCCCTTTCCTGGTCTGTTTTCAGACTGCCGTCATTATGTCTTTCAGATTAACTTTTTTAAGAAGGGAGCAGAGATGTTTTCCCAAAGCATGGACGGCTTTTTATCCTCCGTTGCGGACATGGTTCAGAGGTAAAGCCGCGCTCTGTCTGGGTCTTTGCGCCTGTCGCTTTCCTGCTGGCTGGGCCCCTCTGGGCGTGGGGTGGGGGGTGCTGTCCGCTCCGTGAACGCAGACGCAGCGCCCTCCTCTTAGCTGGGGCGTTTGTGAGCAGCGCGGTGAAAAAGGAACGGTGTCCTCAGCTCCTACCTTGTGGGGAGCCCAGAGCGAGTCCTCCTCCCCGCTACGTGTGAAGCCTGCATGTCAGTAAAAGATTCAAGTGTCCACAGGGGTCCTTTCCTATTCAGTCCAAGTTCCCATTCTCAGGGTCTTCCTGTGTTAATACTCAGGCTTCACAAGGCAGCAGCCTGCGCCCTGAACAGACCTGCGGGCAGTGCAGAAGAGCCTTTGCTCTTCTCCGAGCTGCTGGGTCAGCAGGCGGGAGTGCTGCGGCCTCTCAGGCGCCCGACCGCCGCCCTGACTGGTGACGGATGCACAGGCAGGAAGCCTTTTCCGAGTCAGCTGGACAAACTGCAGCGCAGTCTTGCAGCTGCTGCTTTTAAAAAATGCATCATCTCTTCAGAGCGCTCTGCCCGCGGGTATGGATGCGGCGGCGGTGGCTGCTCTGACCCCGCGCCCGTCATCTGCGGCCGTTGTGACAGTGAGCTGGGAGGAGGCTCCCGGGCACCGCCAGCAGCAGGCGCTTCCGGTACAAACAAGACACGTGGTTCCTTGAGGACCGTTCGTGTTTTCTGGGGTACAGAGCTGTGTCTTTCTGTCTTGTTGGGACCAGCACCTGAGCCTTTTTCCAGGGGAGAAAATCCTTACCTTCTGCCAGGCCCTCAGAGACTTCATCACCCACAGAAGCCTAAGAACCACCCTGAGCGGTTTTGTAAACCTCGGGCTCTTTCCCTCCTCTCTCCTCTTGTACCGCTGAACTTTTTCTCATGTTCCACTCTGTGAGCCATGGCAGTGACAAGCAGGTGTAGCTAAGGAGGTCTGTTCTCCAGCTGGCCTGTCCTGAGGCCACCAGGCCTGGAGTCCCCAGTCACGTCATTCAAATGTCAAAACGGCCACAACTCCCTCAGACGACTGCTCGTACCCGCTGCATTAAAGGTGACGCAGGCAGTGGGCAGCGTGCATCAGGAGAACAGGAGTGGGCGGGCCCCTGCCGGGAGAACGGCCTCCGAACACACGCTGTGAAACACCGCGTCTGTAATTCCGTCTCTCGGGGGACACGCCTCTGAAGTGTTCTTTCTCGACGGATGGGCCACGGTGGCAGACGGTGTTCAGGCCTTTGTAGCCAAGACTGCCACCACCGGGCAGGGCACTCCTATGGCTTTCTTAGAAGGAGAAGCATCACCCTGGCTTGGTTGGCGCACCTTTGCCGCTCCTGGTCATTTCCCCTTTCCACCGGCCACCTCCAGGCTCCTGCCTGAACCACGGTGGGGGCAGGAGGGGCTGCTCCTTCCTTCTCGCCTTTCCGGCACCTGCACAGGCCGCCTGCCCGTGCCGCCCCTGAGAAGGGGCTCGTCAGAGCTCTTCCCCTAAAATTTGTATCAGCAGCCGTGAGCATGGACCCCACTCTGTCAGCAGACTCCGGTTCACTGGGCTCAGGCGTGGCTCACTGGTGTTCTTTATGTTGTTTGAAACAGAGCTCGTGTAAATACTTTGAGTCATGTGACCTTGAGTCCCTGATCTCCAGCTTTCGGGCCCACTCGAGAGGTGGAGAGCTGAGCTCCTTTGGCAGACAGGCCACCGAGGGGGCGGCTCTGCCGTCTGCCACCCTGCCCCGCTGGGCTGGCCCGTGCAGAGTGACTGACCTGACTCCTTCTGTCTGTCTGAAGCATTCAGGTGGAACTGGAAGCTGAAGCCGAAAAGATGCGGGTGTCCCAGCAAGAATTGCTCTCCGTCGACGAAGCTGCTTACACACCAGACGCCGACATGGCTGCCCCACAGATCAACAGGACCCTCATCCAGAAGGCCGGTTACCTGAACCTTAGAAAGTAAGGGCGCCGGTGCCGCCCCTAGTGTGGCTGAAGCGGCCGCGCCAGGGCGGGGGCGGGCGAGGAACTCCCACCACAGCACCCCCAGGGTCCCAGGTCCCAGATGCCCGCCGGGTGGGCTTGACACAGTGGTGGGAGTAAGGACTGAGCACGTGGACTCCCAAGACCCCGCGGGCCACCCGGTCCCTGCCCACTGTGGCCATTTGTAGACAGACTGCTCTTAACTCTCGTCGTCCTGGACCTTTGAGAGTTAGCCCACCTCCCCACCGCCCCCAGGCCCCTGAGCGGGGAAGAGACCTCCCACCGAGGCAGAGGCGCAGGGCCCAAAGCTTTCAGTCAGCTCAGCTCACCTAGACTGAGTCACACACTTAACACTCAGGTCGCTAAATGTCCATTTGGAATGGGAGGGACAGTCGGGTTTCGTTGCATCTAAGAGCGGAGAGAGGCTGTTGGCAGGTGTGGGGAAGACAGACTCTGGTACCAGATTCCGTGGGTGGGTGGGGCCTCGACTGCTTCATCTGTAAAATGGAGCTGATGGTTGCACCTAATGTGTAAAGTTGCTACAAATCGCTGGTCAGTAAACGCTGGATCAGCCGGTGCCGTCCATGTCCCCGGGCGGAGGGCCTGCGGAGGGGAACCACCAGCCGCTCTCTTTGAGGAAGATCCTCAAAGGCTGTGAGTTTCTTGATCACAAGCCAGGTGTCTCCTTTAGTGCTGCACAGACAGAAAACTCCACCAGGTCCTGGTGCTCTTTGCCAGGAACTGGATTTCCCTCCTGTAAACAGCCCACAAAACAAGAATAACATCTGGTTGGAACAAAGCTAAATCTAGTAAAAGCCCCCACGATTCTGGGCAGGTATGCTGTGGGCCCAGGTGACCCTGGTGACTAAGGAGATAATGAGCAGCAGTTCAGCTGCTTGTCTTAGAGAAAGGACCTCCCAGGTTTCAGTTCCTAAGGATGACGGGCTAGTTCTGTGCCGGATACCGGGCGTAGCAGCCAGTCTGGCTGCAGGTGGGCCCATCCCGCCCACCCGTGGAGTTGGCCCTGGGACTGGCATCCCCGTGTGAGCCGGGCCCACGACCTCCCAGCTCCTTCAAGCTCAGTCTCACCTTCTCTGCTGCGCTTCACACTTGAATCATCTTCAAGGCAGTTTTGCTGTAATTTAAAGGAAGACATCGTTTCTGAAACATCCCCCACACCCATAAGGAGGCAGCAGACTTCGAGGTGCTGCTCACGCTTTAGTACTAATGGGCTTTAAACCACAATCCGTCCAGTAAAACAGGGCTGGTCACCACCACCTGGGAGAGGCTGTACTTCTTCACCCAAGGCGGGAATCTCATGTGTCAGCCCAGGGGGGCCGTGGCCGGAGGTTTGATCCAAGACCTGGACAACTGCTCTGTGATGGCGGTGGACTGCGAGGACCGACGCTACTGCTTCCAGATCACCACTCCCAACGGGAAATCGTATGTCGCGTGGGTCTACGTGGGTGGAGAACGAGCAGTGACCCCACCCCAGCTCGTTCCTGGGAAGACAGTTTTATGTTCTCTTGAAGCGGGCACACGCGGCCCGTGCGGGACCCAGCTGCCTTCTGTAAGGAGGCCCAGTGCGGGTTTGCCTGTGGCTCAGGGAAGAGATGACCTGCATGTGAGACAGCGGTGAGGGTGGCCGTGGGTGGGCACAGACTCAGGCAGGGGAGGCTGTGGCTGCGCCTCACCTGTTCCCTAGGCGTTGGCCTTGTGTCACCGTGGGGCAAGGACGAGGAGGAGAGTCAGTAAGGGAGGAGGAGCTGCCTGAGGAGTCGGCTGTTCCGGCTGAAATGGGAGATGTGAACAGTACGTGCAGCAGCAGGACTGTCATTCCTTAGCTTGTCGTTCCCATCACAGCCCAGGAGTCCTGCTTTCAAAATGGCAGCCCTGTAGTCATTCAGAGGTGACTGCACCCCAGTGGGAGCCGCTGCCCGTTAGAGCAGGGATTCGCAGCTGTGCTCCAGGCAGGTCAGAGCCCTGGGCGGTGGGAGGTGCTGCGGTTCACCTGCCTGGGGGGCGCGGTGGCCTGTCCTGCAGTCAGCTGCTCTGGTGGCCCTTGCTGTCTGCCGAGTTCGGGGTCGAGATTTGAACACCAGCTTGTTCGGGAGGGTGCGGCACTGCTGGCCCAGTGCTGACCGTCTCCTCCCCCAGACTGGCCGAGCCCCTTCCTTCCCGAGTGATGAGGAATGACCTGGGAATGAGGGTGCCCACACTCTAGCTGTGGTCCGAGGCAGGCACTTACCTCCTCTGGGCCCCGGTTTCCTCAGATGTGAAGCAGGGCTACGATCCTTGTTCCCCGCCTCCCCGATGAGTGCGGAAGGAGCCGGCAGACGTGCAGTCCCTGCACAGTAGGCCTTCACGAGGGCAGCGCAGTACTGCCTGTCTGCCCCCATAGGCAGAGTTCTCTCCCTGCAGGGAAGGCGTGGAATGGCTGCAAATTCCTTCTCTGGGCGGGGTCGGGAGCAGTGGCTGGCCCAGGGCCCAGGTAGCCTGGGATCATCTAAGGAGGTAGGGGAGGGCCAGGATGGTCGGCACTAGTAAGAACCTGGGCCCAGCCCTGGCTGGTGTAGCTCAGTGGATTGAGCGTGGGCCTGCGAACCACAGGATCGAGGTTGGATTCCCAGTCAGGGCACATGCCTGGGTTGCAGGCCAGTTCCCTGCAGGCCAGTTCCCAGCAGGGGACGCACGAAAGGCAACCACACATTGATGTTTCTCTCCCTCTCTCCTTCCTCCCTTCCCAAGATAAATAAATAAAATCTTAAAAGAACCTGGGCCAATGGGTCTGAGCCCCACCTGCCTGCTTTTAGATGAGAGAGCTGAGGCCCCGGGAGAGGAAGTGTTTGTCCAGGTGACAGTGAGTGAGCCGCAGAGCCAGAGCCAGGACCCCATTCCCTCTCCTTCCCACTCTGCTACCTTCCTGGCCCTTTCCCTTTGGACCCCAGCTGAGTTGTTTAGTGGCTACTCCTCGGTCACTGAGACCTGGGAAGCACTTACTCAGATGCTCTGTATTTCAGGGGGATAATCCTCCAGGCAGAAAGCAGAAAGGAGAACGAAGAGGTAAAGATTTTGTTTGTTTCGCTCCCTTCCCAGTGCGGCGGGGACTCGGGGACTCAGCATTTCTTTTCCTGTCCCCCACAGTGGATATGTGCAGTGAACAACATCTCCAGGCAGATCTACCTGACCGACAACCCCGAGGTAACCAGCGGCCGCCTTCCCTGCACCCCACCCGCTTCTCATTCTCAAAGCTAAGCGTCCCCCTCCTGGGACTGAGCCTGTTTCCTGTGGATTTTTAGGCAGTCGCCATCAAGCTGAACGAGACGGCTCTCCAAGCAGTGACTCCCATTACAAGTTTTAGGAAAAAACAAGAAAGCCCATGCCCCAGGTAACTAAAGGACAAAGGGAAGCTAGCTTTTTCGGAGCCAAACTCGAGTTAGGAATTTGACACAGTTGTCCCTTCATGCCCAGAAGCACCGGGGTGGTGTGCAGCCCAGGTCTGCAAAAGCAGTAACTGGCCGGAACGGCCAGGAAAGGCTATACACATGCCTGCATTCACAGCTCAGAGGCGGGGCGGCGCCGGGATGCAGACCTGGCGGAAAAGTGCAGGCCTTCCCCCGCCCCGACCAGCCTCCTGTGGCCACCACGGAACATGTAGGACTTGCGATGGAGGGTCTTGCTAGTGGGGGGGTTCCCCACCCCGTTTTCTAGCCCCACCGAAAATGTATGGCATCAAAACACACTTTAAAAAAAAATAAGGAACAAAACCACCTTCTGTGTATCCATGTTACTGCCCGGGCACATACATCGATATCTTCCTGTGTGCATTTATTTTGCCTCTTTGCACATAAGTTCTTCATGTTTTTATATGTGTGTTGTCCCTCTGAATACTACACACTCTTCTATCACATCGTTAAGCGCTGAACGTTTACGTTGCTGCCCCTTCCACTGTGTGCTGGCTTCATTTAGAGGGGCACTGTCGTGCATGCAGCTACAGTATTCTCGCCCTGAACACTGCCTCAGGATTCGTCCAGGGGCCCCACCTTCTCATCTGTGGGAGTTTCCATTCGGTTACATAATAGAGGCTGATCGGTCACGGCCCTGAAGGGTTAATTAGAATTGATGGTATTGGTATCCACTTTCTAGTGGCCTGGTAGAAGAAGGAACCCTGCTGTCTCACGGACACTATCGAACAGCTCCAGGAGAGGCAGGACAGTAACTCCCAGGGTCTCAGTGCTGTGCAGCGTGGGGCCAGTGTTCCCACTGCTCTGTGCGCATGATACGAAGACAGAGGCAGGGCCAGAAAATAGGTTTGAGTCCGACTGTGACAGAATCGGGGGCCCTGCTTAAGGAGGCAGTGGAGCAGCGCTGAAGGCTTTGAGCACAGGGGTGGCCACGTCGGAACCGGTGTAGCTTGGGAGGCACACACAGGTACAAGACTGTCCCTGTGACTTAGAAAACCACAGGGGTGCAGAGGGGGGAGAGGGCCCTCCGGGCTTGAAAGGTCTAGTGGGTGAATAGGATTTTGAGCTGGTGTGTGAAGTACGAGAGAGGCGCTGCGTGACTGGGATGGAGACGGGGAAGAGGGAGGAGCATGGTGTGCTTGGTGCAGCCCCGGAGGAGGGTGCGGTGAGGGGGTGGAGGCGGCGGCTCTCAGGGCCCCGGAGAGCCAGGTTGTGGCTAAGCCGAGAAGTAGTCATTCCGCTAACTTTTCTGACTGCCTGATACGTACCAAGTAATAAATACGATTTAATTATAGCTCTGTCCTCAAAAACCTGTCTCACAGGGAGACAGGAACTGGGTCGGCCAAAAAGTCTGTCATGTTTTTTCCATGAATTAGAAGACACATTTTTTCATGTTCACCAGTAACTTTATTAGTGAAATATTCTGAGTGTGTTGGCTGTCCCCCCACTGTTGGCTTCCAGTGGGTAGAGACTGCTAACCATTGGCCAATGCATGAGACAGCCCCACGGCAGAGGACTGTTTGGCCAGAATGTCAACAGTTCCAAGAAACTTCACAAACCACTTGTGATGCATTCAGTCAGTCACAGCACCTTCTCCACACACTGCACAAGTGTCCACGTTTCAATTGGTTTTTACCTTTCTTGAAATAATAAAGCATGATATGCCCAAAATATTGCATATCTTCTTCCATTTTCAATGTTAAAATGGACAAAAATTCTCCAGCATTGATTTTTTTAATGCACACTGATATGACAGCTGTCACAATACCTTTAACACAACGTTAACAACTTCTAATGAAGTTGAAGACAACCAAACACGACTAGAACCACTGTGCAGAAAAAATGTAGGGGACTTTTTGGCCAACACCACACAGAAGACCAGTTGATAGTGGGAAGTAGTACAAGGGTGTGGCGTGCTGTGCGGCAGAGCAGCCTCTGGGCAGTGGAGGATCTGAGGTGTTTCAACCACGGCTGATGGAGTGACCTTTTAGGAAGACTTATGTATAGTTTGAAGGCCTGATTGAAATCTCCCTGGCCTCCATCAGCACTCAATATGTATCCACTGGATTGTAAAGACATAAGAGTAAAAGGAATCTGTTTTTCTCCCTCCTATCCTGTAATCTAGCCAGAACCTGGAAAATTCAGAGATGCAAAATGACGATGTTGTTCCCAAAGCGGCAGTCGGTGTACCGGAAGCCGAAGAACTCATCGCGCCTGGAACACCCATTCAGTTCGATATTGTCCTTCCTGCCACAGAATTCCTCGATCAGAACCGAGGGAGCAGGTACGGGCCATGGGAGGTCATTCCCGGGAGAAAGGAAAATAAATTTGCCTTGTGTCCCCACCCACCTCCAGGGCATTCTGACGTAGAGGTCAAGTGCTGAGTGTCCTGTTAGCTGAAGCTGTCGTGACTGTTTGACTCTGGCCATTCCCTTAGGCGGATCAACCCTTTTGGCGAGACTGAGGACGACACGTTCCCAGAAGCAGAAGGTACGTGGTTTGCTTGGTGCACTGCTTCCTCCTGCACAAAGTGACAAGGGCCACTGAAACATGTGACATCATGTTCTGGAGAGCAGTGACTTGAAATAGGAATTGAATTTATGACCCACAGGCGTGTTTGAAAACATTAGCTAACGTGCAGTTAGGTCTTGGATGGAAACTGAGGGGAAGCTGGCAGATTTCATACAGCTGCTGCACCGCCGGCCACGTTCACACCCTCCTGTGGCTCCTGCTGAGAGAGTTGCTGGGTCCCAATCAGGTGTCGCGTTATTACAAAGCAAATTCAGGGGATAAAGTCACATTAAACGCAGCCTGGGTGAGTCATAAATGTGCTATTTCATTTTAGAAGACCAAAAGCACAGATAACTCATTCTTGAATTTGAAGGGCATGTGGATGTTATTTGGATTCATGTTTTTGTTCGAGTTACACTCGTATGTACGTCAGAACATACTCAGTGGAGCCGCCCGCAACCCCCTGCTCCACAGTCAGGACCGGAGCTCCCAGCCAAGGCAGGGGCTGGCTAGCGGCACTGGAGCCCGGCTGCGTGAGTGGAGCCAGTTAGGAAAACGTCACTGACATGTCATGTACATGGAGTCACTTCCCGTTCAGAATGAAATGCTAGTTGGTTACATGTAAAACGTAGGACTGGAGAGATGGCACTCCTTACATCAAGCTTCAGGCAAAAAAAAAAAAGGTGCCTCAGATCTGACTCTCCACTTAACATCTAGCTGATCAGTTTGTAAACAGTCTAGACAAAAACTTTCAAACCTGTAGAAACACTTCCCGTGGGAAACATTTATGACTTGTCAATTATATTCAACTTTTAACTCAACTTCTTTTTAGGGGTTAGGATACCAATGGGAGGACAAATGAACAAAAAGGCTTAGCTTGAAACAGTAGGTAAATGCATTATTCTTACAGGAATGGGTCCTTCAAGTGAGGACGATCTCCAGTCTGGCTGCCGTGATTCAGTTCTGGCAGGTTATACGCCACGACCAGGTAGCCAGTACAGGAAGTGCAGTGGAATCAGATAAGCAAACTCAGTTTGAGATCTCGATTAGTTTATGGAATGTAACAGCACCGCCCTTCGATCATAAATGAGTAAGACCCAACATCCGGCCTTATTTTCTTCAAATAAGCCTTCTTTTCTAAGAGGACTTAATCAGTGGGCCAAAGGAAGGAGTCTTCTGTTTTCTAGTGGAAAACTGTTTTCAGAGGAAACGTGTGACGCATAAAATGCCGCCTGCACGTAGTCTCCCAGCTTTAGCGCAGGAGGATGCGTATCTGGTGTTGCAAAAAGCGGGACTTTTCTAGTCCGAGAAAGTGGTCCCACACGGGCAAAATGGAGACAGCCCGAGAGTCAGAGCTTTGGCGGTTGGCGTACGTTTGTAAAATCAGAGCATTGAGACTCAGGCAGAAGGCCAGCCAAACCTGAGGTCCTCGATCTCAGACCATCACGCAGGACACGGGGTGCAGGGCACCCACAGGCAGGACGTCAGCGTGATCCTGAGCAGAAAACGCTGTCTTGCAGATTCTCTTTTGCAACAGATGTTCCTAGTTCGGTTTTTGGGATCGATGGCCGTTAAAACAGACCACACTACCGAAGTGATTTACGAAGCGATGAGACAAGTACTGGCGGCGCGGGCTATTCATAACATCTTCCGTATGACAGAGTCCCACCTGATGGTCACCAGTCGAGCTCTGAGGTACATGCCGTTTCATTTTCAGACTTCCTTACAGCTTCATCTGGCTCCTATTTCAAGGCACATTTACCCGCCTAGGATGTTCATAACTAGGATATTCAATTGGATTCAGTGAAGATGCTGCGCTTCTTCCTGCTCTATTCCTTTTACTTTAATTTTGTAAAATGCATTGGATAGAAGATGCTCCCTTAGTGATATCTTTAGGAATTTAGTGGCGAGTGAATCCTGTTGTTCATGAGGTTGCCATCATTCAAGAGTTACTGTCTGAGAGCTTAAAAATGGAAGGTGGATTTTTTGTTTGGTCATTTCTCAGTACTATTTATAAAAATTAACAACAATGAATACAGGACGTGAACCGCCTGAGATAATGAGACCACCACAAAGAAAATCTGATCAGTATTTGTAGGGCTTAAAATCAAGAAGCAATATAAAATTATAAAACGTATTGGAGGTTCGGGCGGTAAGATCTATGGTGAACGACTCTCAGACCACAGTCTACACGGGCTTCACGAAGAGCTGCCCATGCAGCCGTTGAAGCACGACCAGCCTGAACCGGGAGGTGCGGTGAATGAAAAATTCTAAGATCTCATCCTGCCCCACACATGCAAAGTAGCTCAATGATGTCTATATTAATAACATGTCTTTTGGGTCTATTAAATAAATTAATTTCATCTGCTTTTTAAAATGTAGCTGCTAGGAAATTTTATGTTGAGGCTTATGTTCTGTTTCTGTAGGATAGCAGTGCCAAAATGTCCAGGTTCATTCCTGACTTTGGCATTTATTAGTTGTATGGCCTTCCTTGGGCAAGTTCTTTAACCCCTGTGCCTTGGTTTCTTCAGCTATAAAATGAAAAGTAATTATCTACACCCCCTAGTGTTGTCATGAGGAATAGATGAGTTAAACATGTAAAACATTTACAACCGTGACCGCATATAGACATGTTCAAAAACGTTAGCCAGGTCTTTGGCAAAAACTAGAGTATCATTTTTTCCATTCATGAATATCAGTTCTTCCCATGTGTTATAAACCTTATACTAAGAATTGGGTTCTTATGAATCAACCCTTGTATTTATTACAGCTTTCCTCCAGGTACGTCCTGGATTTTTCATAGGCTTTGGCTCACTGTCCTCATAATCGGCACCAAAAACGTCAGAGTAAATGTATGTGAAAGCGCAGAAAAAAACCATAGCGCATCAGAGAACGCGATCAAAAAGAAAAGTGCAAAGACAACCCACAAACTCTTCTAAGTTTATCCACCGTTTGTGACACAGTGTCTCTTAAACTTTCAGGTTAATAGACCCTCAGACTCAAGTGTCCAGAGCCAATGTAAGTATACGCCGACTGGTGACTGCTCCTTCCTTCATCTCTATAACCACCTTCAACACAGATTGAACGAGTGTCACCAGTGCACTCACAGCTGCGACTTTCTCCGTGGAGAAGGCCCTCGTCTGTTGTTTAGTCCCAGTGTGTTGTGTGATGCTAAGCCTCTTCCTGTGTCTTCCAGTTTGAGCTGAACAGCGTCACCCAGTTCGCTGCTCATCAGGAAAACAAGAGGCTGGTCGGCTTCGTGGTCCGCCTGCCTGAGTCCACGGGCGGGGAGTCTCTGAGCACATACGTTTTTGAAAGCAACTCGGAAGGCGAAAAGGTCTTATTTTCTCCATCTTAAGATTCTTAGTTTAAAAGAAAAAGATATTTAAAGGGTCTTTTTTTGCACCCTCCCTCCCCCTGCTATACAGTTGCCTACTATGCAAGTCCCCACTGGGGAGATTAGATACTGTGCCTCCTGAGAAGGCCCCACTGAAATCAAACCGCCTCGAGGTGAAAGTCCCCTGTGGGAATTTTAACCAGAAGTTACATATTACCCAGAATGCATTGCGGGATGCACTTTCATGCTGAGATATAACTGTTTCATAGAGCTATCAGTAAATGTTAAAAGCAGTTCTCCTCAAAGCAAAAGTTAAGTGGAGAAAATGTAATCTCAGAGCGCAAACCAAGGAAGCAGACACCAGGTCCATCTAAAGCGTTCTCTTGTTCAGTACGAACAACTGGCTGCACTCACTACTTAGAAGCCATCAACATTAACCAGCCCCTTTCAGCAAGGCCCCCTTTGCCACTGCATTTGTGGACATGCAGTGCAGAGGACCGTCAGGAGAGAAAGGGAGCAAGCATCCCACCGAGGACTCGCAAACGCTGCCCTCACCCCACTTTCCACTTGCCGGGGTGTTTTGCACACACGGGCAACAGGAGACCAGGGCAGATGGGTGCTCACGTTCAGAGCCCTGTGTTGATGCGTCTCCTACAGCCACGTCCCCATGTTGACGTGAGCAGACAATGACCTGGTATTTCCATAATCACATTTCTTCCTGAAATTCTTTATCCTTTTCTACCTTTACCAAACACCACTTTTCTCATCTTTTACAGATATGTTATGCTATTAACTTGGGAAAAGAAATCATTGAGGTTCAAAAGGTAAGGTCCACTTTAATGCTCATTTAGCAGCTACTTAAAAGATAACGACACACAGTAGTATCTTCCCCGAAAAGAAACCATGCTTACTAGGCAGTACGGCCAAGTTTGGGGTTTCCTGAGGAACTAACCCCATTTCTGATCAGCTGGTTCTCATAGTCACTGGTAACACTTGTGGAGTTTTAAAAACCTCACCGCTGTAGCCCGTTTTCTTTTTCACTTGCTGCTGTCACCTGGATCTCCTGCCTTTCCAATCGGACGGCACAAACTCGAGCACCTGCCACGTGCTCCTAGACCTCGTTCCCCGGAGTGGTCACGGGCCTAGCACACGTCACCCAGAAACTTACTAGAAATGAAGTCACACCTCCCTTTCAGCAGCTTACAGTCTCCCACTCACCCACCAGGTTTTTGAGAGCCAAGTTCGCTAAGAAAGACCCTGGAATTAAGCAGTGAGCAAGACCGATGCGGTTCCTGCCCTGGGGGAGGGGGAGGGGGTGCTGCTATAGAGTTCGGCCTTGTCCAGGACCCTCTGCAGTGATGGGAGATACGCAGATCGAATGTGGCTAGTGTGGCTGAGGAACTGGATTTTTCCATTTAAATTGAAATACTAACATGTAGCTAGTGAGAACCGTATTAGTGTGGTTCTAATCCCCTAGTGTAGACGAGGACCAACACTGACATACGTAAAGTAACAAGCAGTGCAAGTTAGTATTTTACAGTCGAGGTCAGGGGGTGGCAGACCTTTCCTGTAAAGGGCCAGATGGTACACCTTTGGGGCTTATCACTGTCTCCCTGACTCAACTCTGCTGTAGTAACACAAAAACAGCCAGATATAGTATGGAAATACATGGGCATAGGTGTGTTCCGATTCCACATTTACACAGACACAAGTGGTGAGCCAAACAGCCATGGTTTGCAAACCCTTACTGCAGATTGAGAGAAAAGAGACGGGGGTTTAAAGAGACAGAAGACCAAAGGTGTGCTGTGCGGGAACGCCTCTGGATTTTCTGGGGGAATGATGGTGATCTGTGTGTGCAGTGATATTCTGGCTGAGAGGAAAACCCACGCCTAGATTCTAGAAGTAACACAATTGAGTTTTTTTTCAGAGAAGCAAGAAGACTCACCTGGAGGCACACATAGACAAGAAGGAATGAGGCTAGAGGACAGAACATAAGGAAAGCCGAGCCAAAGGGGTTTTAAGTGCATTTTAAGCGTTTTCTTTTCTCCTTCTTAAACTCCCATAACCTCAGGATCCGGAAGCATTGGCTCAATTCATGCTGTCCATACCACTAACCAATGACGGGAAGTATGTACTATTAGCCGATCACCCAGATGGCAGTGATGGAATTCCAAGTGAAGACAGAGGCGCAGAATCTGAAGCCTAAGTCTTGTGCCTTTGGGAGAAGAGCCCCCGGGAAGGAAGGAGAGCTACCTCCTCAAGGGTCCCCACCTTCTCCGACGCACGGACACCCGGCCTGGCTTCAGAATGCTGACAGTCGCTCACGGAATCGCTCTCTCTCATGCCTTGGTACTGAGACTTGGGAGGGGAACAGTAAGAAACGGTGGGCAGCATTCCTAGCCATCTGCAGCTGTTACTCTAGGTGCTTTGTGGTAAGTCCTTCCCTTAGATTGTTACTCAGTGTGCAGAATGAAAGGAGATAGTGCAGCATTCACTGTATTTGGATTTCATCTCTTCACTTTCCAGTATCCCTTTTTAAAACTAGCAAAAGCCTAGATTTACAATTTGATGAACACTAAATATTTCCTATTAATATAATCTATTTTTGTATTTTACTTAATAAGCTTTAAGTGCCTGTCATTTTGAAAACCATGTAATTATAATCGAGCTTGTCTCATAATTGGACCTACCAGCATTAATTTGTGCAGTCAGGTGACAAGCCCTGCTTTGAGGCCCAAGCACTAGCAAAAATGCACCTCTAGTTCTGATGACTATTCAGGCATCATGCAGCAGAATGACTAGCAGATGCGAACCACGAAAGATGTTCGGCTTCACAGTGGATCCTCAGTGAAGCCGCATTCTGAGGTTTATGGACCTGCAGATGGTACCGTTTTAGTAGATCTCCATGGACAGGGTGCAGTTCTGCCAGGTCCTCTTTCTTCTGAGCCAGACCCTCCTCAAGGAAGGAACCAGTTACTTTTAAAACTCACTTGAAGAACAGTTGGTGGTGGGGCTTCGTATAAAGTTCCTACTTCCACTCTGGCACCCCAGCAGACTCCACTCTCCCCTGATACGTGAAATAAGTACAATGATCTTGAATTGGTACAGTGTATTTAATTATAACCAAGTTCGACAGAATGTCGTTGTCTTTGTAATAAATTAACCTAGCAGTAAATGCTAGCAAATAAAACCTATCATTCTGTTTCTTTCCTTTGCTTTTTTGTGGTTATTTTCTAGAACATCCCTGGAAGAAAACTAAAGTTGGTTAATTTCCAAAAAACTAGAGCAGAATGAAATCATGGGAGGGGCTGACTATAAAAAAAACCTATATTCAACATGAGTAGAATAATGGGGTCTCAATGCCAACTTTTTAAAAGCTCTTGATTTTAAAATGGTGAATGAATAAAATAATTTTTTGGAATCCCAAACTAGGTTAATGTTATATAGGGTCCATCTGAGAAATCTTCTTGTATAATGTGTACACCATCAGAGAGACACTGAGCTGGTCTGAATAGGAGATTATATACCATCAAATCAGTTCAGTGTTAACATATGTCTTACATTTGTATGTATCATAATTATATCAGGTCAGGAAGTTCTCTGACAGACTGCAAGAGCCAAAGTCCCCAGAATTTCTTTTTCTTGCTTTAGAACTGTTGAGAACAGAAGGGGAAGAAACCTCAGGTCATGAACAATTTTTGGAAACTAAAATTGGTCTTTTTAAAAAAATTTTAAAGAAGGTGTGGCTTAAATCAACAACAAAGCATGCAAGTCATAAGAATAATGAAATTCAGTACATTAAAACTAATCACAAAGGTGAGAGAATGAAAACAAAATTAACAGAGCCTATGAGCAAGCACAACCAAGAAAAAATTACTACCCAGAATATACAGTGGGGAAAGGACAGTAACGGTCTTGGGAAAACTGGACCACTTCCTTATACCACACACAAAAATGAACTCAAAATGGATTAAAGACTTGGAGGTAAGACATGAAACCATGTAACTCCTAGAAGAAAACATCCAGTAAGCTCCTTGACAAAGGTCATGGTGACGATTTTTTAAAAACCTGATACCAGCCTTGATCGGTTGGCTCAGCTGGTTGGGCATCATCCCACAAAGCAAAAGGTCGCCAGTTCAATTCCCAGTCAGGGTACTTGCCTGGTTGCAGGTTCCATCCTCAGTCGGGGCACGTACAAGAGGCAACCAAGCTGTTTCTCTCCTTCCTTCTCCCTCCCTCCCCCTCTGTCTAAAAATGAATGAATGAATGAATGAATGAATGAAATCTTTAAAAAAACCCAGAAACTTTAAGAATATTAAAAAATCTGACACCAAAAACAAAAGCAAAAATAAACAAGAGGGACTACACAAGACTAAAATGATTCTGCATCCATCAGTAAAATGAAAAGGCAACCTACTGGATGGGAGGAAAGACTTGCCATCCTATCTGATTACGGGGCGAATACCCAAAACATACAAAACAAATTCACACAACTAAATGGCAAACCAACCTGATGCAGAAATGGGCATTGCCCTGACTGCTCTAGCTCAGTGGGTGGGGCACATCATCCCACAAACCAGAAGAAAAGGGCTACAGGTACACAAACAGATGCTCTATGTCATTAATGACCAGGGAAAGGACAAGAAAAACTACTTCACACCTGTCAGAATGGCTATCATCCAAACACAGAAAATAACAGGTGTTGGTGAGAATGCGGAGAAAAGAACAGGGTTGGAAGGAATGTAATTTGGTGCGGCTGCTGTGGCAAACAGTGGAGGGGCCTCAAAAAGCTGAAGACAGAAGCACCATATTGTCCAGCAGTTCCACTTCTGGGTGTTTATCAGGAAAGAAAACAGTAACTCAGGCAGCTGCGCTCCCAAGACCACCGCAGCACTGTTTACGACAGCCCAGACGCGGAACCAGCCTAAGTCCGTCAGCACATGAACACACAGGCAGGTGTGCCTGTACCGTGGGAAATTCTTAGCCATAAAACAGAAAAGGAAGAAGTCTCGCCATTTCCAACAACACGGATGGACCTCAAGGACATTATGCCAGGTGAAGTAACTCAGAGAAAGACCAATACTATATAATCTTTTAACACATGGAATCTAAAAAAAAGTTAAAAAAATAAGCTCACAGATACACACTGATGGTTCAGGGAGGGGGGAAATAACGGGCGAACTGTTTCTGGCCTCTTTTTTCATTTCAAGAAAATGAATTTTAAAATCTGATATACACAGGTGCTTCAGGGCATAAAAGTATTAACTCCTCCTCCCTCACTTGAATGGGCATTACTATGGAATGTTTCACCACGTGGAGACCTTCCAAGTGTTACAGAATGTAGAGTCCTTGAAGATGATCCCAGAATTCTGACATCACATCTACAGTGATTGGAAGATAAATTTCATCTACTTTACTGTGTTTCTACTAACAGGAACAAGTGCAACTATCGAATAAACGAGGTGGTAAAGAACCAAACTATTAAAATAGAAGAAAATGCCCATAAATTTGCCCATATACACTTTCCATATATAATACAATATATGAGAACTTTGTGTATAAACTCAACTCTAACTTTGCCTTCACCATCTCTGAGTTCACTGAATGGTCCAATAACTTCACTTAATCTCTACAGATTTCCAAAATAGGACTCTTTTTTCACTGAGGTCTTTGACAACCTGTTATTCCTAACATCCTAAGACCTTTTTTTTTTTTAACGTAGCATTAAAACTTAAGAAAAGAATGCCATCAGTCTGAAACTTCTGCAACTTTAGCTGGATAAAGAACTAAAATTACTAACACTGGTCGAAGTCTACCTTTTAACGCTTAGCCAACCCAGCAGAAAAGAGAAGCATGACAATGTGTGTGATGGTATCATCTCATCTTCTCCACCATCTTAAAAATGCCCCACCTCAGAAGAGGAGTATCACACTTCACCAAGAATGATTTCTGCGAAAAGGCGCGCGTCTCTGTCTCCAGCGTAATATTTGAAAGGCTCTCACTTCTTATTGTTTCAGCTCAACTCATGTTTGCAAATGGCATCACAGTCACTTCTAACATTAAACACTGCAAACTAATGATCCCAGGATTACAATATTTAATTAGTCATGTAGGCTCTTTTTATATGAAAATGCCAAGCAACACAAAAGATCGAGAAGGTGAAAAGGAAAGAAAAAGATTCTTCATTTGGGATGTATGGGGAGGAGCCAAAGCCAACCCTATATTTGAAATTTCTTGCTATGTGCAAGATTAAAGGGAACTCCATAAAGGTTAATGTTAAATACTGTCTTAAGATTCCTAATTTTGAACATAAACATGCAGGGGAAGTAAACATTTGAAGTTACATTTATTAATGTTTTATTATACATACTGTATTCTATTAGGACTGAGGAAGAGGAATGCCCCACTCAAGTAACAAACTTGCCATCTTTTACAAAATTTAATTAGTAACTGACAATATTAGAGTTAGGACTTAATTCCTGAGAATCTGAACATGATTAAGTTTCCCGTGAATTTGCAACAAATGCTCACACTAATTTTAAATTACGGTATGTCTGAAAAGATGAAAATATTAACATTTACATGTTAGGAAGGAAAACCGTCATCCACATGCGTGTGTTCACTTGGGTGTGAAACACTCAGCCCTGTTTCTCAGCACTTTGATAACAGTTAATTATGCTTCATCTTTTCAGAGATTTCAAGTACGTGAACTTACTATAATTTATCCAGACTACAGTGACATTATTTTGAACTAAAGGCAAAAAAATAACCTATCAGTTTCTTCTCATTGTAGGTATCCATGCAGTCAGCACGAGAACCCTAGCTAATATCGACTGAAAAATAAATGACATGTGGGGATAAGGAACAGACATCTATCTGATTCCCTTCTACTGACATTTTCTATTCCTTTTAAAGGAGATGACCGTAGGGAAGTTAGAGAAAACAGAAAAGCAGTACTTTGCTATGAAATGGTGACATTTGATATAACCTAATGCAAGATCATTAATATAAACACAAATAATGAAAACATAAATTATTAATTATGCAGCATGCTTTAGGGCCATTTCTACAGTTAGAATGAATTACAAATATTAAATGCCTTTAATTCATCATTTTCCATAATTTGGCAGGTCATGTTTACATAATTAAAAAAAAAAGTTTCCTACCTATTCCGTTTCTTCTGACTTTTAACAATGAAAGCATTTGTGTTGGGCTAGGAAAATGACCCTGATTGTAACCAATGAACACAGTCAGGGCATTGTATACCTGTTTCAAAATGTGGAAATCAAACAACATTGTTACAATTACTTTCAGGATCTACCAAAGAGATGTTTAATAGGCAAGTGCAATGGAAAATTAAATATTTTCCAAAATACTGTTAGTATTACATGTAAGGTTTTAAACTTTCTTGTTTTCACTGTAAAGGTATCATTGTGTTATATTAAAAGATTATAGGCCACAATGAACCATTTAACTATTAAGAAACATAAAGCTTTACAAAAATAAATCTAGTGCCTTGCTGGGAGCTAAATGTACTCAAAATCTTTCTATACTTTTTAAAGCAGTAAATGATTTACTTTATTAAAACTTTATTGTCTCACAGTGGTAATTTTTTAAGAACCTGCACAGTGTTTTTAATCTGATGTCTTAGATTATACTTGGTCTAAAGAAAAAGTTTGCCCAAACCATCACCAAGATTTCAATTCAACTTAATGAAGAAGAAACCTGAGTTTGGACGTAAAAATCAGAATTCATTCAATTTTCTCTGACATCATACATAGTGTCTTCAACCAAAAGTGAAGCTTCAAGCAGGACTCTATGGCTTATCTGAATTTTATTCCATTTTGTGTATTAAGTAAATTTTAAATTTAAAGCCGATGCAGAGGTCCAATGTTCTCCAAGCAATATAAACTGGTTACAAAACGTCACCAAAGACACCAGCAGCTCGAGAGTCACATGAAGTCAACGATGAATCAGCTTATACTGGGCGGAAAGAGTACGTAACACATTTGTGCCTCATCTCTAGTATCAAAACATCCTCATATATTCCTTTTATAAGAATATTGATGTGCATGATTCATGAATTTCGGGCTAAATTCCTTTTGTTTAAACATGTATTTACTGGCTGTACACAGTATATGCATTGAATGTGCAGTGACTGGACAAATACGGGTCAAAGACCCATGCAAATAAAATTCTAAATATTCAC